ATTCGAAACATGTGAGACTTTGATTCAAAAGTATGGTCAATATAAACTCTGTTACTGCTAGAGCGACAATAGTGTTTTGGTACTTTATTCAGTAAGTTCAACCATTCTTTAACAGCAATTGATCTGACAGTTTTCAAAACAGGTATTTTTATTATCTTTTATTGTCGTTTTTCATGTTTAGATCTTAAGTCCTTTCCTCCTTCTCGATTTTCCTGCAGCTTCTTAACCCATTCTGACAAGGTATCGCTATTTATATTAAAAGTGCTAACAAAAAAGCTTTAACACACCTTTACAGTCACATTCTGATCATCTGGTAAATAATAGTCATAGGCCAATTGTCTTTGAGATGCATCCTCTGAAACAATCGCGTTTTTACGTCTTCTCAATACCGAACGCATACGAACAAGATTTTTTAAATAAGCCTTTTTAGCATACCAAGTATTTAAGCTCCAAAAATAATGAAATATAACTTTTCGTTTCTGTTCGGAAATCAAACCGCATAAAAAGCTCCTATCAGATTTCGATATAGTAGAATGAGAACATGGTTTTCCTTTCAGATGTTTTCTAGGTTTTGGTACTAATTCATTTATTGCTTTCTTTTATTTTTCAATCCATTTTCTCTTTCTTCCTATATATTTTTCACCACGTACTCTCTTTAGCCTATTAGACTCCCTTTTTCTATTTATCTCCTCATCACTGCTTGAATACTCAGTTTCAGATGGTTTGGTATCGTTTTCTCTGTTCATGCAAACTGTATTATAATTAGGTTCTAATAACCCTGTCTTCTCATCAAGATAGAATTCTTCGCTATTTAAAATTTCTTTATAATAATCCATATCCTCTCTTATCTGGCCTGTCACTTCGTCGAGAATATATCTTTTGTTTAAATTGAGAGGAATCTCATTATTTTGAATTTCGACACTGTCGGTGTTTTCAGGAATGCTAGAAATTAATTCTAATGTACTTACAAAAGTATCAAGATTTTTTTCATACGTAACGTCCTTTAATTCTTCAAATAGAGGAACTTCTATATTTTCAGATGACATGTTGTACATGTTTGTGATTGTATCGGAAATATTATTATTTCGGGTCAGGTCTGAATTTCGCAAGCATTGCGTTGGATCGTAACTACTTGACAAAATAATATCCGAGGATATATTGAAATCTTTACTTTGATTACTGTTTATGATTCCTTTAGCCAAATTTACCAGTACCTGTGCTCGTGCTCACATCCCAGCAAACCGATGGTTTGCTGGGATGTGAGTTAAAAGCCATGACGCCTGAAGCAACAAAAACCAAGAATTAGGTAAACAGCACAGGTAGGTTAGCAGGCATCTTTTGCTATAATTAACTACGGACTTAGTGCACATACATATAAATATAGCACCTAAATACACACATTACCTTTATTCCTATATACATACGTTATACAGCAACGACCCAACAACAAGCGTTCATGATCACATATAACTTTATTGCTACCTGGATTCGAACCCAAGACGTTAGATCAAAAATTTAACTGCTAACCATCCAAACAGGTCGTCAAAATTCTCAAGTTTTAAAGACGAGACAAAACCTAATAGCCAGATAAGTTGCAATATCAACTCAAGGGTTTAGCTGTAAAAAGGCAACAAATCGGTAATAAACCAATAACCAAACTGTAACAAACCGGCAATAAGTAGGAAGTTTATCGAATTATAATTTATAATAATTATAATAGTTAGCAAATAATCTACTATATTTCTCCTATAAAAATAACAATGTAAGAAGTAATAAAACTGCGATGCACATATTTTAGGTTAGGATTTTACATATTAAAATTGACAAGTTATAAATGATCATTATCTCAAACTTGAGGAGATAATAATTAAACAACATTAACTATGATGTAAATAAACTGTGTACTTACCAGTTTTGTTGTGTATCTACCCGTAAATCTATTTTTTTATGTTGTGTACACCACAATACTCAGATCTTTAACGCTCTTGGTCGGAGACTAATAAGCGAACACAAATCCTTTGTGTGTATTACTGCACATACTGATTTTTTCAAATGGTCAATACACAAATGGAATTGGTTAAATTCGTATTTAGGTCGAATATCACAAAAAGGACTTTATCAGCACATGGAGAATAAAATGCAGATTAATATGAGTGAAAAAAAAATATTTGAAAAAATACACATATGGAACTTGTCAGGCGCAGCGACGATATGCTTGTTGTCAAATTTTCTCAATTGATCATACTCGTAGTATAGTCTGTATATGTATATATATATATATTTATTTGACGTGCTCTTGAGTGTACCTTATTTTTATTGAGTCCCCAATGTATAGGCCCTGTTCCATTATTAAGGAGTAAAATCCCATAAATAACTGTATATTACTTTATTATAAAACTAAAAATACAATAAATAATTAAAGATAAAAATCATTGCATGACGTAACAATAAACGTTAAAAGATGAAAACGATAAACAAGGAATTTTATGCTATATTGTAAGTACAGAACATATTGATACCAATTATTACAAGTTACTTTTAAAAAAGGGAAAACTGATTTATTAAAGCTAATAGTCACGTTTACCAAAGGTACCAAGGATAATAATTTTCATTGAATGATGAATAAAATATCAAATTCGAACATTGGCGCCATCTAGTGACTGGGCGCATCTGGGTTTAAATTGAAAAAATGAAACCAACAAAACCCTTAAGTATCGTACACTAGCTGTTTTCCCGCAACTTTGCCTGAATAAGGATTACGTCATCAAAATTACACAAGTTATCACTACGATATAGTAATACTATTTTAGCTTTACATTCTTTAAAAAATTCGTTAAGAGAATTTCGCGTAGGAGTTTACGATCAAACATAGTAAAAAACTTTATGTATACCAGTAGAGATAATCATATGAAAAAAACGAGGGAATTGCCATAGAACAAAGTCGTAGGAGAGGCATTCCTAATTCTTCAATCAGAATATTCAAAGGAAGCGGGGATTCCCGCAACCAAAGAAAAGTAATGTTTTGCATGTAAAGGCATAATTTTAATAGTGAAACCGCATATATCTGGATCGCGTTAAGCGGGATGTTACTGTATACATGCTGTACAACACAAATGTACCTTTTCATTGATAAATAATTTTAATCTGAGACTAGTTGTTTTCCCGCGACTTCGCCCGCGTGGTAGTACCTATATTGTTCACATATTATACATAAAAGATATTTTATAAAATTGTAAATAGCCAATCATTGAAAGAAATTCTCACTTTTGATTAGTTTATTAATAAAATTAAAGTAGATCAAATAATGTCTTACTTTCTTTATTATTGTTTTGATAATTTGTATGCCTTTTGATTTTGAGTCGTAATTTTTGTTTATATATAATTAGTGATGTTTTTCTAATTTTAGACCGTTGCCAACAGCGCCACTGTTATTAGCATCCACGTCAGCTCCGGGGCCCACCCCCAGAGACAGATCTGCGTCCAGGTAATATATATTACAAAAGCGCATTGATAATTTTAAAAAGATTTAAACAGCATTTTGTTTATTTAATTTTTAAATAAGCATAATTTCACCTTTACTGACGTTTTGATTTTCATTTCAGCAATAAGTATCTATTTTTTTTATTTGTTTTTTTCTTTGATATTATGTGCTTACATGCTATTAGATACAGCTTTGTGAGTTTTATATTTCCATCTTTTTTTTTGTAGTCAACTAAAAACCAAATATATCTACCCGTCCATATAAACTCACTGACACGCATAATCTTATGAGCTCGCATGATAAGATTGTGTGTCCAAGTGAAGTAAATTTGTTTATTTATCCTAAATCATCAGTAGTTAACTTATTTCCCAATTTCATGGAGTCTTCTGTCAGTCAATGCACATTGTAAATTGTAACAGAAAAAAACAATTCTTCTATATAAATTGTTTTTCCTTTTAGAACTCGTAATTATATACGTCGCCAAGCTGCAGAAGATGACCTTAACTGTATTACGTGCAAGCAGATGTATACCCTCGACATATATCAGTGTGAAAGAGGGCACAGTTCGTGTAGTAATTGTAAGAGCAGATGTAACCTTTGTGGTGTTTGCAGGGGTCCTATTGGAGACGTTCGGAATAGATCCTTGGAAGGTTATATAGCAGAGGTAAGTATGGTGGCTAATATTCCTTCAGCAAAATATACATTATCTTTTTCAAAATAAAGCATATTTAAAAAAGTATATAGCACCAACGTTCCATCCGCACATCCCACTGGAATGGTACATTTCTCTGGGAAAAGAAATTGTGCTATTTTAGAATATAATCTGTTGTTGTTCCAAATCTCATCTAATACCCGAACAATAATACAATACTATATTAAAGTACACGATTGGTAACTCTAAAGGAAAGCCACATACCACTTGAAAGATACTGCACAACCATATTTTTGGTTTTACTGAGTTATATTAATTATGCAAAACAATTGTTATGTTCCTTAGAATCGTGTCAAATAGACAAGTACATTAAAACGAATAGAAATACACCCCACTGCCATCAGCGTAAGTACAGTCAGTACGTCAGTCAACTGCACGTCAGACTATAGAAAACTCTCAAAATCCATTGTAGAAAAATTCACATATTGTGGTATCCTTATGTACCTGCGCAGAGGACTAAATATCGAAGCAAGGAAAATTTTGGCGAATCAGAATAAAGTAATTCGGCATTGGGCGAATCGTGCTCCCGCGGCTCTAGTGTGTAATTACAGACCTGCACGCGTAGCATGACAAACTCGAGAAACGCTTTGTCTACACTCATTTGTCAGTTTATCGGTTTAAGAGTGAGATATAGTATAGGCGCACACGAGAAAAGTGACATTTGAGTGTAGACCAAACGTTCTCGCGTTTGTCATGCTGCGCATGCAGATTGATCTGGCAAAATGAAGCCATGTATGATCGGTTAAACGAGTTGATAGTATATATTAGGCCTCTGCTTATTACGTTACTATTTATTATTGCATCTTATGGTTATTAAAACAAGACAGATTATATAGGTATTCTGATTTCTTGTATTTTCACGCGCACTACATTTTGAACGAAAAAGAAGACTAAGTAAACATAATGCGACTAATCGTAAGTATACAAGGAACCTGTAAAAGGTCCGAAACATCATGAAATCAAATATAAACGCGTTAAAACCATTCCAAATAGTTTTAGGTTATATATTCTTATCATATTACGTATGCCTACTGAAACGAAGATTCACGATGCGCCATCTACTGACCGTAGTTACTACAAATGTAATGCAATTACATCGACTGCTATGTGAAAAATATTTTCAGAGGAAAATCAAATGCCCAAATTCAGAGGACGGTTGCTGTTTATATATTAAAATGTCGGAGTTGGAGAAACACGAAAAGGAGTGTCCATATAAAGAGATGGCATGTCCTCTTGCAGCTGTTTATGGTCAATGTCAATGGCGAGGTATGTACCTATTCTGCTTTAGGTACGAAATGTCCTCAATAGGGGATTGGACAGCAATCTTGTTAAAATCCTTAAGTTTATAGATTATTATTCATCGAATATTTTTTCATTATTTGTAGTCTCTAACATCAAATAAAACACCAATTAGATAGCGTGACGTTATTTAAGTTGGTTTGTAATTAAATTATCTTGGAAAAGCGCGGGAAACATTCATAGTATAAAATCATTTTCATGACTTACTGAGTTGCTTACAGTTTACAAGGGTCACTTTCAAATCAAATGTTTTCTCTGGAAATCCCTTTTATTTACCTCTCATTAACCGTCGTTCAAACGGTTAATTTGAATCATAGATTCGTGTACAATTAATAACAATAGCTGTTTACGTAAAATAATATTATATGCGGGTATAAGCAACCATATTGATTAATTTAAAACAGTTTTTTTTAATGCTAGTGTGCCAGAGATACACTAGGCGAAGAAGAGGAAACTAGGCTCTTATTAAGTTAATAAAAGAGGAAGGCTAGTTTCCTCTTTTATTTTTTAACACCTTTTTAACACCTTTGCTCGTAAAGCTGATGTAATTCCACCAGTTTTAAATATGTAAAGCGAGTCATAAAAAACGCGTGTGTTACCAAAGCAAATAGTAAAGTTATAGTCCATACAAATTCCATAACAGTATTTGCCATTCCGCGCGCTGTTGCTATTCAAATGTCGAACTAATCGCCGCGCGGCGCCAGTCAGTAGGCAGCGCTAGCGCGTGTTAAAATGGCGGGAAAGCAACAGTGTACATTCACAGAATGAGTTTATTTAATGTTTTTTTTTTTCTGTTTCCTCGCCAATGTGTTAAAAAACGTCGTACGATATACGTGCGTATTGGTTATAACATGCTCGGCTCAATTACGCCCTCGCCTTCGGCTCGGGCTGAAATTCCGCCTCGCGTGTTATATATAACCACCATAACGCACTAATATCGTAATGTACTATTACTGAATTTTTTTATTAATTATTATTACTAACATAGAAGCTAGTATGTACATAAAGCTTACATAAAGCTTATTTAAAATTTTATTTTTTATTATGTGAATATTTTTTTATTACATTTACAGGTAAACTGCCTCAAATATCGAAGCATTTTAATGAACTCCATCCGATTCATTGTCAAGGTGACGTAGATACTGAAATGTGTTTAAGAAATACCGAATCACAAATCGTATATTACGTGATGTTGGGCACTTTTAATTTTCTATTCCACGTGAAGGTGTCTGAGTATGACCGTAAAATATACATGACAGTGCAGCTGATCGGCACAAATATTAGCGCGCAGAAGTGGTCCTACGAGATTCATATTTATAACAAAGATCAACCACGTAGAAAATATCAGTACACAGATATTTGTCATTCAAATAATACCCCATTAATGGATATATTTGCTGATGAAAAGTGTGCTACATTGCCGTTTGCCTTTGTAGATACTTTTGTTAACAGAGATATTCTCAATTATAAGTTCTATATAAAGAAAAATATTGAAAGCAAACCATCAAATCGCCAAGGCGTCAGGCGTCGAAATTAACTACGTCGACATGTAAAAATAATGCTTGAAGTTGACATATTAAATATTATATAATCAGTTTTTTAGTATTGCGGTGAATTTGTTATAATCACAGAACATAGAGAGAGAATAGAAGTAGTAAGTGGGCGGGGCATGCGTCGCTGGCATATGCGCTTTTACTCATATGACGCCCTTTCCTCGGTTTTATGTTTGCCAGTCGTTCGTCAATCGTCGAGTGGTGATTTTACAGATTTTTTCTATAAAAAATGCCGTTTTGTGCTATTATCACTTGCAAAAAGCAAAGCAAAGTATACAATCTAACTAATGCAAACATTTCCTTTCACTGGTAAGTACAATTTTAGTGCTAAAATATAAAAAAACGTAATAATTTGACACAATGTTAAATAAAATATACATTGATTGCTCAAACCAACATCAATGTTTCTGACCCCATTACTAAACAGCAATGTAAATCATTTTGTGCACTTTTGCAAAAAATAGTGCTGTGCCTCCATTTATCTGAAATGTACCGATAGGCTGCTGCTGCTCGGAATCGTATTGTTAATTATATGGATCGTAATCGATAACTAAAACATATTTATTTAGAGCTTTTCTTTCATCATTTCATAACAACGTTATCGATAAATATATGCCATAATTATATAAAACTAAAAAATACTGTTTACAAGGGAAAATTATAGATGAACTGATACTGAACAAATGAAATAATGAACTGTCCAGGCACTTTTTTTACGAAGATTCGGTTAATTATTTACACGCAGATAAATATTAAAAATTACTGATGTGCTATAAATATCTAAGTTACGAAGTATATCACCGTTTTATGAACAATACATAAATTAAACGCAACTTCGTGAAAAGCTAAGAGTTGGCCTAATAGGTCTTGTTAGAAACTGGTGAAACTGGATTTCACTTATTTTGCATTACTTATATTTCAGTTTCCCTAATAACTTTACAACGGATTGCCTTGTTTACATAATTAATTTTGCCCTATCTGTTTTAGACCTAAACCTATCAAATGAATTTCAAAACAACATAATATCTATACAAACAAAAAATTATGTTTTCAACTAACGTAATATTGTTGGTGGTGTGAATTTAATTTACAAAATTAATTTTTAGGCGTCAATTTAATTTACCTTATTATGCTGATTCATAATCGGAAACTATGATTATAGAAATCGAGTTAAGAAAGCCACTTTAAAGAACCGCCCACAGAACAGCTTTTATCAGTTTTTTTGTTGCTCCATATTTGCACATAAGTTTATAGACGCATGTCTCAAACGGATGTGACTTTATATGTAGATTGACGTTTGTACGTACTTATCGCTTTTGTGTCTATCTTCAAACTTTTTTGTCACGGCTTTCAAACTCATACTTGACCAGCAATTTCTTATTGTCCAGTCGTTGCAATTAATAATGTAGCTACTACTATTATTACAGATATAAAACTTAGAATAATAAAGTAAAACAAACATGGCTATGATCAATTTATTAGTGTAATGATCATATTAGTTATTATGAAATGAAATGAAAATATCTTTATTCAAGAAGGCTATTACAAGCACTTGGAATGGCAAGTTTATTTTTATTTCTACTTTTTTTTGTGAAGGAATCGTAATGTTTTCTTGCGTACATAATATTTTCATTGATGTATTGAGAGGCAACAGTCAAAATATTTATTTCTTTAAATATTTCTTGGAGAGATTCTCTAGACCGTAAATTATATATAGCGTGGACAGCTCTCTTTTGTAGAATAAAAATATCTTGAATGCTAGCCGCAGAACCCCATAACAATAGATTATACGTCATTCATTACACTATGAAAATAACTAAAATATACCAATCTTGCCGTTTCAACATTTGTTAAGAGTCTAATTTTCTTAACAGCAAATGCTGCAGAACTCAGTCTACTTGACAAATTATCAATATACCAAAATACCAAGGAACTTTATCGATTCCACCATCTCAACTTTTTCACTATTTACGTTTATAAGTATATTAACATGCCTCACATTAGGTAATGCAAACTTTATGTATTTCGTTTTATTTGAATAAAGCTTTAAATAATTACTATCAAACCACTGTAGAAAATTGTCGAACTGAATTACATTGAACTGTTTCATAACAAAATTTAAAGCTCTTATTTTATCAACTAATATGTCACATCACTAATATGCACAATCGGAATGATACCAGTAAGAAAAAAATACAAATTAGGCTTAATGTAATCAATACAAAAATTCTGTTGTTTTCTTAATTTTTGTTTTTTTTTTACACTTTCCCTCGCTTAATTATATTACTCCACAGACATACGATAGAGTGTATCATTAAGTTTTCTTAGTTTTTGTACTGCATTTTTTAAAAGATATTTTAATAAATGATGTAGGGAAAAGCCTTAATTTTTCAGTATTCACTTGGTTACAGCAAAATCTAATATTAATAGTTCGCACATAAAATGATGACCCCAATTTTTTTAAATGTGCATAATCTTAAAATATTTTTTTCCTTCTGGTATCCCCATATACAGCCACGTGACAGTTCAACATTCATGTTAAAGTAAATTATTTATTATCACGTTGAATTAGAGTTTGTTTTTAATCGTGTGATTTCTTAGCTTAGTATCTTTTTGGGATTTGATTTATGTTATCGCGAACCTATCGCGTGGCGGTTTTTCATGTAGTGAACAAAATGATCATTTCATCTAATCTGTATTTGTGTGCGGAGAGGCGACACTCGGTTCCCATACTAAATTAATATCATTATACTTCTAATCTCTCTCTATGTTCTGTGGTTATAATATTGTTATTAATTGTGGTGTCACGGAATTTAAAAGCATTTTTTGTTTGAGCCCTATTGATGCTATGGAATTAATTTTTAAATAGAAGAAAGTTACCAAACAAGTGACAGGGGCTGTGTGGGCCCCACCTGGCAATAAGCTGCCCAGTGGGTTCCCAGAGTCTATGTATACCGCTATGGTGCACACTCTCGTGGAGATGAGATCCACAAAGCTGTGATCGAATCACCAGGGCCACTCGCCCTCCCTTATTAGAGCATTGTATATTGAAAATACCTAATATCGGTAAATTTTGGATGGATAAATTTAAGAAATTTATGATTCTGGGAGTGGTTAGTTGTGCTTCTTCAGCTGTAAATAGACGAGTAAGAGAATAACAAATTAAAATATTAAACATTAAAGGTAGTAATTGGGGGCGTTCAAGTATTACGTCACGCAATTTTTTTACATGATAGTTTTTGTAAGTCAGCTGGTGATGAAAATACTGACTACAGCAATGTTTTTCGGTGTGTTACGTGTTTAAAACAGTAACGAGTACTGACAACCAAAACAAGATAATAATGATGTAAAATATCCCCGGAAATCATAAAAGAAAAGGATTGCTAACTTTGGGAGATATTAATTTGCTATTTATTTATTGTTTTAAAAAAAAACCGATGTTCCCCCAAAATTGCGTTACGAAATACTTCCAATTCTTATGATACGGATAGGTGGATTATCAAAATAGTGATGTTAACCCCCTGTCGTGCGCTCACGCTTTTCTGAATACCTACTATTATATGATAGGCAGGACAAGTGAGGCCGGGTAGGAGTAGTTTCGATGCGATTGATTGTGAATCGCACACAACAGTTGCTCTTCTAGCCTTGATGTCTTCAAGACAAGAAGTCTGTCATGTACCCGGCATGGAAGAATTTATCTCTGTCATGTAAGAATTTATCTCCTTTGGGCTGATTGTATTATTTAATTCCTTCTTTTGTGGTAACAAGCCATTTATGCATCGTCTGATTATATAGAGCGATCTTAAGTGACACCGTCAAAACTCAGAGTGAGTTTGGCTATTTTTGGCTATTTTTTTGCCTTAGTATATTTTGGCCTTACTCGAACTTTGTTAGATTAACTATCAAAGTACATGATCTATAAAGTACAAGGTGTTCAGATAATAGAGGTACAGAAAAGACGACGAGTTATTATAACTAATAGTGATGTTAATATTTCCCTTTTTCCTTTAAAAAAGGTTTCGTAAAAAAGAAGTTATTTAACATTAAATGTAGTGGTGCTGCTTTTCGAAAAAAAAGTTTGTTGTTTACCATGTCTTTTGTTTTATAAATATATCTAATTGCATTATAGAATAGTCGTGATAATCCATTATTAAATTTAAGTTTATCAAATGTATCGTGTGCTTTTAATATTGATAAGAAATTAGCGTTGAATGAATATTGGGGGCGAAATGCTTAATAAGAAATTTTCTTACTATGGATGTTTCATGACAAGTTTTAGTTATTGGGACAGTATATATTTGCCATCGATTTTACCGATTGAAAAGTAAACTATTAAACTGATCAGGTCCTAATGATGGTGTAAATGAAAAAGTTTTATATGTTTTGAAACATTTTGCCTAAGTGGTATAATATAATACCTAGCGGTGTTATCCTATTAAAATAAGCCAGCACTTGGGTTTACCACTGGCAACTTAACCTGTTTAAGTTTGACGTAGGGATGGCGTTGTTTGAATTTTGTTTTAGGAAATGTGAGTTCTATATCTAAGTAATCGACAACTCTGCGGAAACGACGTAACTGGCATTTATTTAAACATTTCATTCGGTGGTATGTAGGTTGTTGTCTTAAAAGCCTTTACGGAGCTTCTATTTAATGAGGTCGTCATGTGTTATGAATACGTGTTGTAGATTAACGAGGAATTAATGTATGTATAGGTTTAATTATTATTTTTGAGAAATTTATTCATAATTCTGTATTGTAATTTATATTTTAAAAAGAATTCAACCGTACCAGGATAGCGACCTAACTCTCTAGCTGTAACTAGCCATAGCTATAAAAAGTTTTTTTGGTTTTATCAATCAATCTGTTACTAATCATTTATAAACATACCTATACAGGGCCAGCATTTCCATATGGGTAAATTGCGCAACTGTTTAGAGCCCTTGTATTTGGCGGGCAGAATGGCGTACTCTGTTTTGCTTGAATTTAACTTGTACAGAACCCATGAAAATAGTGCTTGTTTTTTTTTTACATTAATCCATTACGGCGATATTCAAAAATATGATATTCTTGTACTAGCAGTTTTAGTAATGCCATTAGCAAAATAATGAACACTAAGATTCATATAAATACATTAGTCTTACATTTTGTTATGATTTTTATTGGGCGTTGTCCCAGTGTTTTACCTAGGGGCGCCATGTTTCATTGAGCCGGCGCTATACTTATAATTGTAGACTAGGTAGGTGCGCTAATGGAGTGACTGCCCAACTAAAGAGTTATAAAATATCCCAGGGCTAGAGAGTCATATGATATTATTTCGTTTCATTTTACTACTTCGACATGTCTTTTTAGAGAAATAACTACGTTGGTGACACTACTGTCAAATCTGAAATGTCATTTTTATTCGTTCGTCGTTATTTAAGTACATATCAAAATAGTAAAATGGAACGATTATTGCCATCGATGTGGTATCCTATGGCCAGAGAGTTAGCGGTCACACCCAGAGGTTGATGGTTATTATTATTCCTTAGATAAGTGCATATTGTGTTTCACTATGATTTGTTTTCTGAAATAAATAAGTTTAAACTATTACCATCTTTTACTAAATTGATTCTAATAAGTATAGTATTAGTTCACACAGTAGACTTATGATGAGTTTTAAAAATTGGGATTAGTGAGTAGGTAATATGTAGTACACCAAAGATTTTGTGATTTATTTATTTTATCCATTCAGTTCTGATGTATTTAAATTCATTTTGATTTCATCTACTACAACAAAACAAGTTTTTAAGTTTAAACGTTGAAATTTAATATAGGCCGATCACATTCAGACATTCAGAACCAAACAGAAAATAATGATACCTTTGTTCGTAATCTGGCTTATACCAGAGATATTCTGATTTGTAGATATTCTTTTACATATATTTATCAATAGTTTGCACACAATTCAGTAAATGAATTATTTCTTAAGAATCAACGTAGTTTTACTATTGTGAAACGTACATACAAGTGCTGTAATTGCACTTCTAATAAATTTATGACGCCATGCAATCAGCATTTTATAATTTGATAAGAGAACACTAGACTAATTTATAATATAATATATAATTAAAGAAGCAGTCTATGGGAGCACCCGTCACTATAGGTATACCACAAGGTTCAATATTAGGGCCATTGCTTTTTTAATTTATTTGAATATGTATTCCTAGCTAAAAGAAAAAATTGTGCGTGACTATATTATTTTTAGATGGCCTCTTCAAAAGCTTAGAGGAGCAATAATATTCTCTCCGTCTGTGTTTGTTTTACAATCAATGAAGTTTCTTGTTCTCAACTGCGATAAGTTTGATACCTTGTCAACTAGAATGAGTTCTGCAGTTTCCCTTTTAAGAAATTCGGACTTGACAGACGATGAAACCGCAAAATTAGTGTATCCCCGTAATTTTTATAGTGAAGAACGTGTGGTCCGTTATCAGGAGTTTCAGCACAAATTTTGCAAAGCAGCAGCTGATATCCGCAATTTTTTATACTACAGAAGAGAGTAGTTCTTTGATAGGCAATGGAGGTAAAGTTAAAAAGAAAATTATAATAAATTATCAACCAATTTATTTCCAATGACAAATACTTGGTGTAGGTAATTAAGTGAATTAACACATTATGCAGACAAACACGAGATCATTAAATGTATGCGTTTAACAAATAATATGTGACAATAATAAATACTAAGCACAAGATTATCTAATAATAGTATTACCTAGTTGCTTTTAATGAATGCAACATGCGAAAGGTCCTCGGCCTCAAAAATACGCCACTGATTCAAATATGAAAATTGTATATATATCAATACATACTAACAAGGAATGTAAAAGGACACAAACAAAACAAAAGAACAATTCTCCTGGAATGCAACTTTGTCATCATCTTAGCAGAGTGTCATAAACTTGTTGAATCGAAATTAATATTTTGATTATATTAAGAACGTAAACTATGTTCATGACAGACAATATTCTTGAACAACACATCTGTCGTTTAAATTTACAGAAAATGAAAGGCAATATTTAACAACACTAATTCGCAAATGTAGCGATACTGTACTCTTGGTATTAACAACTACTTATTCCAAATAGAAAAATACCATAGGTCAGCTTAAAGGTCAAGCGTATCATCTTAGTTAAACAATGAAATTAATATGTAACAAGCAAATTCAGAAATGTTTACAAGAAACTAACATCACATTATAAACAATGAACACATGCAGAGTTACTTTTAATTCTTACTAAAAATATATTAAAGCATTAGTGCTTGTTCAAACAAACAAGTCACTGGACGGCATTGAAATGCGTTTTTTTATATATTTATACAATTTATTATTTATATAGTTAATTATACTTTTTTTTTAAACAAGTCGCCGTCGCACATGTAATACAAATTGGTAAAATTAAATATTATCCGATCTCAACGGTCAATGTTGCATTTTAGTTCGTTGTTGTTTAATTTTTTATTTACCTAATTACTTTTGTTATTTTGAATAATTTAGACCGTATAATAGAGAAGTATTAATGATTTAAACCAAATACTAATTACGAAGGGTCTTGTTATGGTGTACATATGACGGACAATGCGTCGCGGAATGCCATAACAAGGGTTGCCAACCGTACTATAAAGTATAGGGATGATGCATGGGTAAAAAAAAAGAAAATTTATTAAGTTCGTCATTCCGATAATAGAAAAATACTAGATACCTACGTATTTTTTTTCTAAGATAACAAGGATTAAGGTACAGTAGTGGAATCGCTACGTCACAGTTTACGTGATGTCGGGACATATTAACTCGAATGTTCCGCCGCAATTTAATGCTTACGAAAAAAATAAGTATTTAATATTAATCAAAAATCCACGCGAGAGACAAACTAAAAAAATAGTCACCTCTTCTGTACAGTACAATACTCTTATTTTAGAGTACGGTTTATTTTAATAATCCAATATCATGTATTTAATAGTTTAGGATAGTCAACCCACTCGATGTATTCATCTTCTCATTTATGTAAGCATATTTAGAAAAAGAAGTATATATTCATTCCCTGTATGGTTTTCTTTTTTATTTTATTTATTTACCTATCTTTTTGAAATAAATATAAAAAACATTTATATTAAATAATCATGACTAGATTTAATGTCCAGTACCTCTACCATGAACTACTGTACAAAGTTTTGAACTCTTTCTACAATGCATTACGGTTTTAAAACGATCAAAACCAAATCTGAGATGTTTTTTTGGGGAGCCGAATCTGTCTTTCAAAACTTTATGACGCAAATGTTATTTCTATTTCCAGTGACAGCGTTAAAATTGTCTAAAATGTTGCAAATTTATTATCATTCGCATTTTTGTGTGAGTTCTCTGAATTGTTCAAAAAATTCTGTCTTATTCTAAAGATACGTTTAAAGAGGGTTAGTAATCGGCGTCAGTGCTGGCGCCGATAACTGACCGCACAGTTTAAAATGTAACACGAGTCGTTAGTCGTGTTAAATCTTTACGCTCCAATTTAAACTAGGCCAGTACTGATAACATTGCAAACAGTTACAGACTTATTGTAATTATGGCTTTACGTTCTAAGATTTAACAGTACTTTTTGTCTTCAATTTAATATGTTGATAATATAGTTCATAGCTAATGAATGTCAAAAAGTCCATACTTTAGTCACATATAAAAATACCCTTGCAACTTTAACATTTCATGACCTTTATTTTCTTCCTTTACTTTACAAAGTGTATATATATTTTTGTATATGATTATATCAAAATTCATGATAGAGGTATTTCACATAGTGAATAAAACTTATCTCTACATAACATAAATAGTGATGCACTCCAAAAATACAAAGACAGGTGTTCTTACAACAAAATTCATGTCAAATAGTGACAACTAAGTGTTTTATAAACCACAAAATTTAGGAGATCATACTTATATACTAGTTTCTATAATTTAACAAGCATAATTCATTAACATACATAAAATGAATCTGTTTATGTGTATACAATGGTAATGTTGCTTGTCTATATAAGATGCATCTGTTATAAGATTATAATCATTTTTGAGTTGTCTAACTGTTTGTTTGGTTGTTAATTATATGATGAAAAAATGTAAATTCAATTTCAACTAGGATTTTGAAGTTATAGTCAAATTAAACTTTTCAAAAAATATAATTACTGCGCAAGTTGGTATATGAATTTAAATAGTGGCACGTTAGATTACCATGAATTATCTATTTCAAACTATATATTTTATCAATTAAAATATCAATTGAAAGAAACTGATTTGGAAAATCGATAATACAGTAGTCATAATTTTAAGTACTTTGAGTTTGAATATTCCAACCAATCTACAGAATAAATTTATAGCACTTACATCAAATCAGATATTTCACAATTGAAATTAATGTTTAAAAATCAAGTAATTACAAACTATCATTATTCTCAAGAATAATTAATACAGACATAAAAAAAAATACCAAATTGAAAAATAGTTATTAAGTGGAATTAACTCAATTCTCTGGATAGCTTGATTTGTATATTTATCTTCTATAGATAATTTTTTTTTAGCCATTAGCGAAAATAGAATTGAAGTAGTGCTATACTTTTCTTTTTACTAGAGCGAGAAAGATAGCATGTTATTTTATTAATCATCATGAGGATTCCATAACTTGCTATCTTTCTCACTTTAGCAAATGGCTGTTTTGAGCTGCAGAAAATTATAGGAAAGAAAATGACGATATTGTGCTTCTAGGTGTAGCTCAATCCTTAATATCATTCCATATTTTCTGATAAAGATTACTGAAATTAATTAAACTTGTGTGACTTGAAATAGAATTTGAAAGTATAAAAAAATATGGGGTATTCCCTTCAAATGAATTACGAAAACTTCATCTTCACTTTCTTTTTATAACTTTCATTATTTGCTAAAATTGCAATATGCTAAACAAAAATCATTCCCAAACTTAATTAAATATTATTCAATAAATCCTCCAGTCTAAACATAATTTACAAATAACTCACACAAATTGCTCGTTTGTAGTGCTCCAAATAATTTAATAAAAAAAGTGTTATTAAAATTTAGTTATTTATACCACCATTGTATGCGTAATCAGCTTTATTGTGCATTACCAGTTGGTTGTCCACAAAATAGAAGCTGTCAGAGCATGTTTCAAACGGAGCAGCTATCATCTCCTCAACTGTAAAAAAAAACAATTTCAACATGCAACATTTAATTTTATTATCATCAAGTAGACTACATAATTGTACCCCCAGAATCCTAGTTTAGAATTTTAGTGTGAAGACTTGGGGCCTAAACTGCTGGATGCCTGTGTGGGTCCATACAAAAATACCCAGTGGAAGCACACACAAGTTTGTTCTGTAATTAATGCTTTATCATGTAGGTTGCACTCTTGGAGGAATTTGTGTTTTGATACAAAAAGGTTGTGTCATTGATTTGAAGGGCTCACATCCATTGATAGGGCTTTCTATTGTTATTTATAATTGAATATTTTAAATGCCAGCCTAGCTCACTTTAAGCAGTCCTAGAAAGTTAGTAAAATGTCATTATGATATTATCAGCCAGTTACACAAACGTCCATTAAATTTTTCTTTAGTTTTAAGTGACATTACCCATACAAATATGCCATTCATTAGAGCTTAAAGACAACATTAAATCTTAATGAATGTTTATGCTACTGACCGTATGTTCTATCAATATTATAAATGTAAAAGTTTGTAAGGTAAATGTAGTGTTTAAATTACTCTTTCACTTAAAAACCACTGAATTGATTTTGATGAAATTTGTTAAATTCTTATACTCTCTTCATATACTCTACTACACCATTCCCTGAACTACTAGACCATCAATACACTGGCAAATCATCAAGTAAACAATGCAGGTGAAGTTCCTGAGGGAAAGCTCAAATATGGTTTATCACAAACTGAATGGTTCATATCTAAGCTAAACAGACACAGGTCAAGTGCTCTTTTAAGTGTAATTTTTCATTTGAGACATAGTACCCTAAAAATCTCTGACATCATTATATTATATTCCATAACTCTTAAAATTCTAATCCAACATGTACAATTTTTTTTTTTCAATTATTGTGATCGTTTGAGATTTCAACAATTGCTTTGTGTTCTGTGTCAGTGAATGTTATTCTCTCTTTTTGTATAGCCAAATGAACCTTCAACATTAAATAGAAATAATACACAATACCAATCAAATACAAACCTAAATCGATAGGTAATGAGGGAAATTCATATATGTGTTCACATGTGTTCCTCGAAAATGGTATGCAGAATCCAAACTCAAAATCGAAAGTCTTGAGCAACCTATCTCTAAAGAAATGCTTCTCAATCATACGAAAGTGATTCACAGGACGAGCTCCAACAGTAAACTCGACACTGAAACATTAAATGAGAATTATTACAGGATCTTAACTAATTGTCAATACTTATAGAAGCTGAAGATATGTATACTTACGTAGCACCAACCGTTTTCAGTTTCAGAAATTGTGGAGTAAACTGGTATCGTACAAATCTACCTGCATTGGGATCTAGAGGTTCTTCCTGAGCTTCTTCCGTTCCATCGTTTTCAACTCCAAAATCTGTGGGAGGCTTTGCAATTTCAAACAAGACAGTTCCAGTTTCTAAGTCTCGAATTTTGAATCTTGTAAAATCTATGTCGTATACGTTTGCTTCGGGACTACAGAGATATGTATCAGTGATTTTCTCCAAGCGCAAAACATCATCTGGTGTTATTTTACTTGAAATATTGTCACCTTTATTTGATTCAAGTAAAGTTATCGATTCACACTTTTTACCCACTAAACTCATTTTAACAATAACCACCACAAAAACTATTAAAAATGAGGCACGTCTGATATTATTTAAAACGTCTAAAAGTTATAAAACCATTATTGAAACAATAAACTTGCTCGTTGAATGAACATTGTTGAAAATCGATTTTTTAAAAAGTGATACCTGAAAACGAGTGATAAACTTTTAAGTTTAAGGCAGAGGGATGTTAGCCCATACCCATACAGCCTAGTCTTTCATGATGTGTTTTCACTAATTCTTGCATGCCTGTGTCTGTGGTTTCGATCGACTCAATGTAATTCTAGTCGACGCCAAGTTTATGGGAACTTTGGGGCATCTCTAAGTTGACGTAATATCCGTTGCGTCACGAAGTCGAATTGAATGAGCATGCGCCTTGTCACTTTCGTTGGCTGGCTAGTCATAGATAAAAATTACAATAATCTGCCAATAATCGGGACGTAGCTGAAGGCTTGCACTGTGATAAGTTTTATTTTACGGTGAGGTGGACTGTCTGATGTGCATTTAAGTGATATAGTTAAAACTACATCATGCTTATCAAAGAATAGTAAGTATATTTGCTAAGGTTATAACAGATATTATCAATCGATTTTTGGTATTTCTAAATGAATATTTTCAACAAATCCACTTTACATGTAGTAATAAGTCAGGTTTAATTATTATGGTATCGTTTGAACATAAAGTGAGTCATGTTTTTGAGAAAATTGCACAGCAATGACACTGACAGTAGCTCACCAAGAAGTTCAGGTCAAGGTTGAGTTGCTAGCAGATGGACAAATTTAAAAGCAGATAAAGGTCCTCTGAAGGAAACTAGCTCCACTCCTAGATGCACTAATATAATTATACACTAAGTTCTTGAATTTGTACTAGGGTGAATTTAAAACTGTTAATCCAATCATTGTAAGAAATATTTTGTCACTGTCTAATAATTATTTTTCTTTTGCAGCCGTGTAACTCTTCCTCTAACAGTTGAAGAGGTAAGAGTTTCCTTATGTTAAATGCTTATTCGTTGGTTAGCTTTAGTAGTCAGATATTTTTTATAAACTGTTTATTTTAATTTCTTATCAATAAAAATCTTGGTCACACAAAATAACTTTTATATTGGTAAGGAATTTTATTTTATTATTAATTTTTATAGGTATAATATTCTCCATCACAGGATTTTTTAAAAATATGTATATACCTATTTGTTTCTGATATTTTGCAAGTTAATTTCATGTTTCAACATTATTATCATTTTAGTTTTACAATGTGAATTATAAAAAGATAATAAGAAATTTTAATCCCGATAGTTATCATAATGCTGATTATATTTTTATTGAAATAAGAACTTAGACAATGTAACATATCTCATGAAGGTGTAAATTATTTTGATCTAATATAAAAGATGCTATAAGACATGTCTCTATTTTTGTCAGAAGAGTTTTATTTGACACTGAAAAGCAAACCCAAAATTGGCAAAATTACTTACTTTTTTATTTTAAAAAGAAATTATACTTCTATATGAATTGATTAAGGATTACCATATTTAATGTCATGGATGTTCATAAGCATTAAAAAAGGTTTTCTGGGTTTGCAGGTTACTATGTGTTTGCTTTCCAGCATTAATGTTATTATTTTTAGAAAACAATATTATCAGCCTTTTTAGCGTTGCCTCTGTTGGATCACAGGTCTTACTTCTGAGTAGGAAAACACTTAATATGGGTGTTAACAACTGCATATGTCATTTCGGCTAATGGCTATAGAATGGTGTAATGGAACTTTTGGTCACTCTCCATTGACCAAAGACAAAAATGTGGGATCGACTTTTTAACATTCTATTGAAAACCTTTGGTTTTTCAATAACTCAGAAAAATTTGTAAAAGTGTATCCATCTTGTGTATTTTTTTTTTTTTTTTTTTTTATTTATTAAACTTTATTGACCCGTAATAAAAAAAGGTACAAAAGGCGGACTTAATGCTAATGGCATTCTCTCCCAGTCAACCTTTGTGTATTAGTTAGTCTATTATTTGGGTAAAGTTAGCTAATGTGTAAAATTTCAGTTTGCTGTGCCCAAATATATGATACTCATTATACACAGAGCAGATCACCCAAAACATCAATTTTTTACAATAGATTTTGAACACTTAATTTTAACTATAAGCTTATTAATTATTTTAGAGAAATATGATGACTTTATAGAAATAATATGCTGTTGACCGCATGTGTTGTCTACAGTTCATATTGATAAGAATGCTAATATTCTGTTCCTCAGCAGATTTTTTTTTAAACATTATGTTTTATATACAGTACCAAGTGGCGCAGTTGTATTGCGTGGCAGAAGTATCCAAAAATGAAACCGGTGGGGGTGAGGGAATAGAAGTTATAAAGAATGAACCATTCAAAGACTATCCACTGCTTGGTAAGTTTTTTTATTATATTATTATTAATATTTATTTATTTCTATAAATTAAAATAAATCTACATTAGACAATTGCTACTTATATTTATATTAAACTTAAACAATAATCAAATTAAGTAAAGTTAAAGGATTTGTGTTACTTAAAATATGTTGTCGTAGTATGGATATACCTGAAATCATCTAGCAAGCTACTTTATACTTTAGGACTTTTTAGTAAAGGGGAATCATTTTAAACAACTATCAAATATGGTTTTTCTGATTGAGAAAATTGTCTAGGATGGACTTACAAAAAAAAAAATTAAAAGCCTATTAAAAGCTTTTATTTAATAAATATGTTTACTTTTGTTCAATGTGATTTCATAAGTAATTTATTTGTTTAATTTTTGTAATTTAAAACAAAAAAATAAGCCTCTTTGTATTTTAAAAATTGTTGCCAGTAACTACGGATAATTATCAGATATTTATCTGATCATTATCATGATAATTATACAAAAAAAATAATTATCTCGAAAATAACGAACCCTGCCGATTTATAATGTTTACAGTTCCTCTCTGCTTCATTTTCAACATGTACGTTTTTTCGACTTAAATTCACTTCTTCTATTATTGCTGAGATAAAACAGATATACTGTATTTGACTGTACTCATGGTTATAAAATTTAATTATCTAGTAGTCTAATTATCTTGAGATAATATCGTGTTAGTCGCACATAAATTATTTTTGTTGATAGAATGATAACGATATGAGTAGACAATAAACGGTTACCTAAAGGGCCGCGATCGTTATTGTGCTATTGTAAGATGATATTCGTCATTGGCGAATGGCGTCAGATTGTCTCTGTATATGTAATAACTGAGTAGCTCGGTGTCGTAGTGGATAAGCGCTGCGGCCCGCGATCGTAGTCGTTAAGCAACTTTCGCAAGGGTCGGTCACGGGATGGGTGATCAAAAAATTATTATCTCGAGTTACTCCGTGCTTCGGAAGGCACGTTAAGCCGTTGGTCCCGGCTGCATTTGCAGTCGTCAATACCCTCCAATCCGCATTGAGCCAGCGTGGAGGGTCATGGCCCATCCTCCTTAACCATACATAAGGAAGGCCTGAGCCCCTGCAGTGGGGACGTAAAGGGGCTGGTGGTGATGTAATAACTATTATGTATGAATGTCATCTGACTATTACTTTGTTAAATCCACGAAATTATATTAGATCCTCAGCTAAAGTGAGGCAGCAGCTTGCTTAGGTAATAATGGTAATCCGTTGACTATATTAACGGGGCATTATATAAAGCTTAGAAAGTAGTATTGTTCACCTATATAATAATTCTGAAATGCATATGCTACAAAACTCTGGTTAGTAAAATTCTTGATAAATTCACTTCTACAATAATCTCTTGGCTATGAAAGAAATGTGGCGAAAGTGTAAACCCATGTTTAGAAATAAAGCATTCTATTAATAATATTTGTCAGCGAATGCATCAGGCAAACCTCGTTACTTTACTTTCACAGATTTTCTCGACAGCAGATTGAAACAAAATGCACTCAACATTAAAAACTGATAGGGTACACCTGTTACAAATAATCTTCGAGCTCGAACATGATACTTTTGTGTTGGTCTATCCGATAAATTCCGGTTCTGATATCGGTCTTCAGTGTGAAGCTCTTTTCATTTGTTTGTACTTACTTACTACCTGAAGTTAAATAGTCAAGTGAAATTAATGCCAGGCACACAATCTTTTGGTGGAAACTTCACCGTCATCTTCAACTCCTTAACGTTAAAGAACATTAAATTCAATTACTCTATTGTGAAGTTTAATTCTTCCCAAAACTGCTTAACCTCCGTTTAATATTCACCATCGCAGTCCATCGACGGCGAAGGTTTATAATAGAGAAAGAAAAATTTAATAATAACTTTTTTTTAATACACAATTCGGATTCCGAACTGGGCTCTTTCAAATAGTCGAGTAATCCGGTTCGGATGTTTTTTTAATGTATGAATTCTATTACTACGGCGCAACCCATACGAAATTTTTCGCGTAATGGGCGTAAACGATATAGAATATTATCAGATATGATGCATGAGTAATTACAATTCCACAAGCGGCCGCGTTATCGCAAACTAGTGTACATTTTGAACTAAATAAATAAATTCAAAGATTGCCTTAAGAATTGAACTCCTTTGGGCTAAAAAGTATAAGTATTCTTTTTATTTTGAAAATCTGAAACAAGTTTGATTGTTTGTCTTTAACATATATATTTGAGTATTAAACTCAGATAGAAATACCTAATGGTTACCAAAGTTTACGGGGCTCCATAGAACAAAAGAATTTGGAAACATCACATAGTTTTCTTTCAGAAAAGGGAGTATAAATAAGTCAAAGTATTAATTGCATTTCACATTTACATACAAAATATTTGTAAAGCTCACGTTCCCTATATAGTCATCCCGGCCATTTAGATTGGTTCGCCAATGCATCGCCCTAAAATTCAGGGCCCACTCAATAATCGCTCACGGCCCAAAGTTTGGGATGTTGGAATAAATTTTAATGACTTCAACGTTGATATCAATCATTGATGTCCCCCTCTGATTAACATTTGTCTAAAAGAAAATACTAATGTAATCATAAGCTCTCATAACAGTTACATGTCCTTTTTAGGATTCCGTACCCAAAGAGTAAAACGGGGAACCCTATTACTAAATCTTCGCTGTCTCACGAACTGTGAACGTTAGGACAGTTGAATTTTTCACAGATGATGTATCTTTCTGTTACCGCTATAACAACAAATACTATAAAAAATAGAATAAAATAAATATTTAAGAGGGCTACAATAAACGTGTACTGTACACGTAAACGTACCCATACAATAAACGTGTTTTTTTTTGCTGTCACCAGGCTATATCTCGTGAACCGTGATAGTTAGACAGTTGAGTTTTTCACAGATGATGTATTTCTGTTGGTGCTATAACAAGAAATACTGCAAAAACAGAATAAAATAAACGTTTAAGGGGGCTCCCCTACACCAAACGTGATGTTTTGCTCGTTTTCGGTACCGAACCCTTCGTGCGCGAGACCGACTCTCACATGGCCGGTTTTAATACTTCAACGTTTCTATTGAATATTTTAATTATTTTATCTAGAACCATCAAGCGCTCTGGCGACAACATCTAAGCGTGAAACTGCAGAATGTAACAGTTGCCCAGCTTGTGTTCAAGACGATGATGGTACACGGTTTTAATTAAAAAAAAATTTTTGCTAATAGTAGCGTAATATATATTAGTAAAAGTAAATTATCGTAATAACAAGATCAATTTGATATAATTAGCAGACTCATCTACAAACGTACGTTCATGTATGATAAGTTCCAGTTCTGATAGATTAGATGGTAATTTTATAGTTTCATGGCTATTTCCAATATCTACACGGAGTCAACACTTTAATGTAAATATAATTATGTAGTTGTTTTAAATAATAATTCACATTATGGAACCTGTTATGTAACCCTGTGTCGGACGTAAAACATCGGTACAGTAACCGTAACCAGTTGGTAGACGTCATTCACAAGTGGCCTATTGCTTAAATTTTGAGACTCAGCTGATTTTATCTTGTTATTAGCTGCATTTCTACCATTATGATAATAATCAGCTGTATTCTCTGTTGTAAATAGATTTGTCATTTACTATTCAGTTGGAATTATATTGCTTACCGTATTGTATGAATATTCAGAAACTGTATTCATGTAACTTGACATGTAACACCGCTCATTTGTTGTATTATGCTTTTTGTCCTTGGATGCAGGGAGCCTACTGTTTAGGTGACGTTATATGTGAAAGATTTCCTCGGAAATATATTAATGATTTTTTAAATTGTAATGCCATTTGCTTAAGTTGGAGTTAATGTTAAATTAAGATTGATAGAAATTAAAAACATCCTACTATGACACGGCACACAAAAAGGCTTTATCCTTTTCCGGGCCGCAGTATGTTGCTGGCAACACATTGTCTATGATCTGTAACACCGTAGAAGCCGTTTAGTTGTTGTTTGTAATATCACAGAAAGACGCCATTTATATATACTCTGCAATTTTTATGTTCAAGAATAAAGTGTTTGTGTTAAAAATATTGTTTTCCTCATAATTCTCAAGAACCACAGCGCGAAACAATTATTTCTTTCACTACATAATTATTTTATACAATATAAGGCATCTTTTTTTTTTTTGGCAAAGTGATTGCAATACTCCACGCTACTGATGGAAAGCGCTAATGTAATTCAGTACCCAACATTGATAGCTGGCAGTAGTGTAAGCTAGTCCTAACAGTGACCTTTGTCTTGCCTACTGAAATGCTTCTTCAAACCTGTTTTTGAAGTAAGGTTATAGGAAGTTGTTAAAACGTGCTAAGGAAGACTGTTCCATGTTTTGACGGTGGGGCAAATGTATATTTTATGTTGTATAGTAAATTGTTTTACTTAACTTAATGTTAAGCGTAGTACATATTTAGTTTATTTTTTTTATAAATTAGGTTTTTTTGTTAAAGTACGTCGTTTTGATATCCTTTGATAGATAAATAGATAGAGATTCTCTACATTATTTTAAAAGTTTATCAATACCGACAAATAGGTTAGGTACCTGGTTTCCTTGTGACATTGAATTCTTTTATGCACTGTTACATGATGCATAACATCAAGGAATACTGTATACTCATATAATATGTGATTCAACCAGTTCTCGAATGACGTCACACCGATGGTTTATACAGTTGCCATAGACTGTAGTGTTTGGATAGGTGTGCATTAGTAATGCCCTGTGAATTTGTATAGTTACAGACCATAATATAATGTGAGCATTAATTAAAATTTCATTTTAGGTACTATGCAACTGCAAATTTGCCGCCTGCATTTAGTTTTCCATATAATAATTTGTCATAATCAATAAAATAGCGAAGTGAGCGAAACTCCCTGATATTAAGAGTATTACCACAAACTCAGTTGCTGATTTTGTCTCTAGAAATTTATGATATTACTAGCCGTTTTCTCGTCTTTGTCCGCGTCAGTTATAGCTTAAAGCACCCGCGTATATTATAGCTTCCCGTAGGTAAAGGAATTTTCATGGTCGGATCGGCATTTCCGAAGATTTACAAACAAAGTTAGAAACTTCACGTCTTCGATATTAGTAAAGATTAGATTTAATGGCAAAACTGTATTTCTTCGCGGATATTTTCTATTAATGAAACTGTTTTGTATAACAAAAAATGAGAAGAAAGAAGTATATATTTGCCGAATTTGCGTATTTGACACTTTTAGAAATAAGTATGTATGTGAAATTTTCAGTAGTCACCCATTTTATTTACAACAATTTATGTCTTTTAAATGGTTAGGCATGTAAAAGGTTCAGTATTATTTAGTTAGTCAGTTTATGACAATTTTTGAAATGCAGCACGAAAAGACGTAAATATTACACCCATAATCCATAAATCTAATTACAAAGCTACAGATATACTAACTGGCAATTCTGGTATTGTGTTTGTTAGGAAGGTAAATTCATAAGTTCTTTCTAGGATTCGTAGTCATAAGATAGATATACGTTGACTGATACAATAGAAATGATGATTGGGTAAAAAAAATAAAAAACACGTGTTTAGTATTTTTCAACCGTCTACCTGACAGATAAACAAAAAAAAGTCATCTTCCCTATTCCGGTGATTAAATAAATCGAATGTGTCTTAAAGTCCAATAATTAGCACACTCGATGACTATAAATAAGTCTAGAACATCATAACTCTCATAGATCCAACAGAAGAAAGAGGGGAGTTATAAAAAGAGGTTGGTGTTTCTGCCAAGGACCTCAAATAAGAAGACAAGCGGTTTGCTTCCTCTATTAAGAGTTTACGTTTAGGTTTGAATTAAAAAGAAAATAGTTTTAAGTAAGAAATTTTAACAAAAAAAAAAAAGAAAATAGTATGTAGGTATTTTCCGATGTATAATTTTTTAATGTCCACCAAAAAGGAGTTCCCAAAAGGCCATCAGGTGCTATTATTGGCTTTAACATTGTTTGTAATGTCGAATACGTTCTCTTTGACACAGATTCGTATTTCGTGCTATTTTGATTTAATTATTCTCTTAGTTAAAAATGTTTTGAAAATATATGTGAAATTTAAAAAGTTTTTGCACAACTATTCTTCTTCCGGCTTCTATGGAAATAGTATTTGTAATTTATATGTTTCTACATACAAATAAAAGCAATGTATTTTACGGTCGATCGTAGCGAAACACTTGGTTACTGCAAAGAGCTTTAGGGTTGTGCTGCTTCTGACAGCACGTTATCGTCCTTTTCCCTTGCTATATACTTTTCTGTCGCTCAGAATTGCCTTTTGGTAGAGCGAGAAAAATAGCGTGTATCGCATGCCGCGGAATCCTCGAGGTGATACGTGCTATCTTTCTGGTAGCGGTGTGCAAAATATGGTAAATTTTCACATAATTTTTCTGAAACACTTTTAATTAAAAGAATTGTATATGTTAGTGATATACATGTGCCGGTCGGTACTGAACTGGGACTGAATTGTCACTGGTCAAATCGAATGAACGATTTATTTTGGTGTAAACACGATACCTGCTTTTTACATATTGTGACGTACCAATAATAATAATGCCAATGAAATGAAATAAAGGATTCAAACCTAACAGCGGTTTTCTACTTCATAAATGAACAATTTTGAATCTACTTAACTAATGATAAGAACTTCTACTTATCTTTGGAATTAGTGCCCTACCTAGTTTTTGAATTGGCATGCCTATTTCACTTCATATTGTATGGAAGTAGGTTAGGCGCGAAGGATAGCGCTTTAGTATTTATTTGTTTAAAAATGTGATATCTACCTTACATACTTGTTTCAATTTGAGATTTTTAAGATGAAGTAAATATATTCCAGGAGTCATTTATACATTTCCAAATAAATTAATATTTGTATTCCATTCCCCATTCGTATTATGATAATTACATATGTTATTTTTCATATGTTGTTAAGAAATTTGGTACCTCTATATGTTTGTACAATACTAGATTATATATTCCCGCGACTTCACCCGCTTATCTTACCCGCGTGTTTAGTCGGTTATTGGTGCAATAGTTTTGGAACTTATTTAATGCAAGCAAACAATAATATAAATAAAAAATGTAAATGTAAATATAAATAAAAAGTATAAATATAAACATGTTACCTAGCGTCGAACTCTGCTTATTTTTTTAAAAATTGTATTTGGGTTTAACAGGTGGCAGGTTTTCCTCGGGCCAGTACACTTACAAGATATACCATCTAGCGTCAAAAGTGCCAGCGTTTATCAGACTGTTGGCACCCAAGGGTTCTTTGGAAGTGCACGAAGAGGCGTGGAATGCGTATCCATACTGCAGGACCGTTCTAACGGTTAGTTTCTATTATATTTCGCAATTTTTCACCTTCATCGTCAATATATTAAGGTAAAAATCGATTTGTGAAATTTTTATAGCATACTATACATGTTTTTTTCTTTTAATTATAAATAAAATATAATATGTATCGGTTAAGAAAAAGACTCTCACAAAAATATAACATGAGAAAAATACACAAGTTTCACAATGCAATTCTGATTCAAACTCTGGGTTACAAATTCAAAGGGTTTTTTTTCAGATGACCTAATTTGACATCATAGTGAATTATACGTTTTTATTGCAAAATATCTACAAAAAATAATATCAAGATTGTGAATAGTATAAATAGAAAATTAATATTAATGTCAATAACTCCATGCGATGCAGGTTTTTTATGAAGCTGCTATTAAATAGGTTATCAAGTGAGGTCTTATCTTATGATGGTGATAAGCTGCTTATTTACAATCAATATTAACATTCCCTTCCGTTTTTTTTTTCAGAACCCAGGCTACATGAAAGAGAACTTCGTTATTTGTATAGAGTCACTACATTTACCAGATGTTGGTGATCAGTACAACGTAAGTCATTGTTTTAAACATTTATATTATAAATGCGAATGTTAGATTTTGTTGTTGGGCTTTCAAGCTTTAAACGCTGCTCCGAGAGATGAAATTTGGTACCTACGGAGATGGTGTTTGATAGAGATTTGGGAATTATTCCCTTTCTATTGGTTGGATGAGTTGCGTAAAATGAAAATGTCTACTTAAAAACAATTATTAGTATTACCTAAAACCTAATGGAAAATTCTAGTAACTAGCTAAATTCGAGTTTATGCTGCATATATAAAAAAATGATGTTTGTCATTGTCGATATCAGTATATCAATGTCCTCATTGCTGGGGCACAGCCCTCTGTGGACAGAATCATAATAAGAGGAACAAGTCCATAACCCTCCACTCGGGTACAGTGCAGTTTGGAGGGTGTTACCGACGGCTGATGCTTTGCATGGTGGTGGTCGAAATACAAGTATTTGCCTACAGATCAGTTACGAAAACTTTAGTGTTCATTTCCCGTTTTTCATATTGATCTGGCCGGAAATAGAATCCGGGATCTCGGAGATTGAAACCGGCGTCTGGTCTGAGCCACTCGAACATGGGAAAAAATATAAAAGCAATGTAGTTTTCCGTTGGTGAAACAGTTTTTAAAATCGTTCCAGTAGTTTCGGTGCCAATTCAATGTCTAACAGACACACAATAAAATCTTTTCTCTTTACAGCGGTAAATTAATACGTTTTTGTCTTTGCGCATGTTAATTGTTAAATACCTGTTTACATCGGTTATATTAATTTATGTCGCCAGCAAGGTTACGTGTAGATACTTAATGAACATACTGCTTACGCAATTCCATGCGTGCCTTGTAACTTTGACCTCGTCTTTTTCATCTTGTCATCTGTCATACTCGATGGCCACAAACAAGTTTTCTCCGAAAAAAAAAATGATAGGTAACTGCATTACGTATGTAATTAAGAAGGGCCTTAAGGGCCTTAAGATACTCACACCAAAATCACTAATTATACCCAAAAATATGATTTCGTTTAAATAATAATGTCATATTTGCAATTACAGCCAAAACGTGATTTATAAAATTTTCTGTATAACGGTCAATTGCACAAACGTCCATTAAGGTTTAATAACGAATTTAAGCTCTAATGAGTCAAATTATATCGGCAATGTCGCTTTAAACCAATGACAATTTTAATGGACGTTCGAGCAAATGCTTATATTTCTGTTTTCTAATAGTTTGGTAATGATGAATCTAATTGGAATTACCTGTGCTTCAAACTTACCATTATATGTAGTATAAAACAAAGTCACTTTCTCTGTCCGTATATTCCTATGTATGCTTAAATCTTTAAAACTACACAACGGATTTGATGCGGTTTTTTTTCATAGCTAGGTGATTCAAAAGTTTTATTTTTAGTAACGCGAGGAATGCTTCTTAAGTCATAAAGCGAGGTTAATATTTGTAAGGAAACGTAAGAGGGCCTTAAACCAGAGCTTTTCAACCAGGTGGTCGAACTAACTAGTAAAACCCAGTGTGGAATACCCTCAGTGGGGAAGTAAATGATTCCGGACCCAAAAGGAGCACGCCAGATCCAACTGGTATTCCTAGGGCCGACGATAAACGTTCATTGACCCAAAGTGTTTGTCGAAAGGAAGCGATACGTATTGTTATCCATAGAAATGTGCATAGTTTCCGCGAGGTACAGCTTTTGTTATACGGGAGGCTATATGACACATAATACTTTGTCCATTTTGATTTGGTCTGTTTTTAGGGTTCCGTAGCATAAAAACATGAACTGTGATAGCTAGACCGTTGGAATTTTCACAGATAATGTATTTCTATCCGCATTGGGCCAGCGTGGAGGGTCATGGCCTATCCTCCTTAACCATCCATAAGGAAGGCCTGAGCCCCTGCAGTGGGGACGTAAAAGGGCTGATGGTGGAATGTATTTCTGTTGCCGCTTTAACAATAAATACTAAAACATAAAAATAAATAAACATTTAACTGGCTCCCATATATTGAATTGTTTTTTTTTCTTACTTTTTTTATAGATTCAAGTTGGACTCGTACTTGGCCGGTTTTTTCGTCTGACCTAAGAACAGACTATTATAGTATCTATTAAGATACTTTATTTTGGGACCAAAAATATATCGCTAATGAAAATAATAATAAATTACATATTTAATATTCTTAATGGAAATGCTTGAAAAGATCCACTATTCCCTGGCACTCTGAGACGGGAATAGAGCAGTAGCCCGGATTGCGAAAGGTCATGGGTTCGTGTCTCATTTCAGTTCCTGACACTGAAAGTAGATTTTTTAAGCGTTGTGAACGCAAAATTGATCAAATGTCATAATAAGAACGAATTTCACTTCGGCTATTTGGGTATATTGGCTGAACATTAATGAAAGTATGCTTTGTAGTAGCGAAAATGTAACAAGTGCTTGAAATTCGTAAATCCTGTTAGGTTCTGGGTAGCTCAGTAGTTAGAGCAGTTACCCGGATTGCGAAAAGTCGAGTCCCATCGCAGAGGGCCAAACAAAGTGGATTTATTAAAGTATTTTTCGTAAAGAATATTTTTCAGCAGGTAAAACATTGTGAATGCAAAATTTATGAAATATAATAGTACATATTTAAATTTTCAATACGGAAAAATAAATTAAATTTCTGACCAACTGCCCTATTGATAACGCGGTCAGGTAATTGCGGCATTTCTAGCGATAGACAATTGTGTCCATGAACAATGAGTACATATAATTACTGAACTTGATACCTAGCATTGCGACTGTAATTGCACGTAATTGATTGTGAGTATTTTTGCTATCTTTAACTCGAACTAGGTACTTAATTAATTTTCATTTCGATTTCATTACACATTGAATGAATAGGACATGTAGCTTTATTTTGGGATCGGACGTGAATTTGACTTGGACGGAATTGAAAAATCAGTAAACTTATTTTCTTGGATAAGTCTGGTGCCAGTTGATCTGTCAACCTGACAGATATCCAGGGCTTCAGCTATACGGTAGAGCATAATGACTTTTCATACTGCACGGTCATTTTTCGTAGTATGTTATGGATGGATCAAACAATGGACTTGGCTCATCCAGAACATATGCGATTATACATACTTTACTAGTATAGTATTATATTTATCTGAGCTGATGGTAAATATTATGACTGTTCACTTATACACTTTATAAGGAAACGCGTATAATTTACTAACGTAGGTTTGCGATCTTTATTGAAGATAAACGTGAAAACTAATAACAGAGACCTTATACCTGTTAGTTTTCTTAATAAATAATGGCTAGTCCTAGACCTCAGACAGATAAATCAAGTGTACTTAACATTCAATACTGCATATTAGATACTGTGTTTGTTCAGTACGTCAATCAAATTCACTCAACGTTCAATACAGTTTTGAAGATCGAGTGTATTTTGCTTCAATATGATGTTAAGTCATACTCACATTTCATTATTGGCAGGAAAACTAAGTTAAGCTGATTTGCAATAAAAAAAACTTAGGCAACTTCTGTAAGTTGCCTAAGTTTTTTTTACATCTGTATGTGTGTTTTACATCTGTATGTAGATACCGCTAGGACAGTATACTTGTTATTTCCATAGCGTTATGTCATATGGCATTCTGATGTGGGGTATGGCTGCAGATATAGTATATATTTATTTTACAAAAAAGAGCAGTAAGGGCTATTTATCAATTGGGTTTAAGAACATCGCTAAGAAATAAATTCAAAGAAAAGGTACTATCATCATTTATGGGTCAAGGTATACACCACTTTAACAAAAAATTACTATGGAAATTTTAAATTTACGATTGCCTAAGTTTGAAACGCACATTAAGAATTGCCTACTCAGTAAAGGATATTATACTGTTAATGAGTATTTAAACGACAAAACTGGTGTTAAATATGGCTCATTTTTCATGTATATTAAATTGTTTATCGGTGAGCTTCTTTGACTACACATGTAATTCGATTGTCGAAAATACTGTTTTACTCTTATATTTTCTAATATTGTAATGGAAAGTGGCTTCATATTTTAATGAAGTCATTTTTCAATCTTGACGCTCTGTATGAAATAAAACAGGGAGTAAAAAGCAACCCTTGCCGAGTTTCTTGCCGGTTCTTCTCGGTACAAGGTCTCCCGCCGTAGATTTACGAACCGATGGCGTAGCTCTCGACCAGTGTAGTGCGTTGACTGTGCAAGGTTCATTGTTTTATTATACATTTTCCTGCTCTGACGTTATGCAACCTATTATACGCGTCGTCATATGCACCTTTATGTTCCATCGGATACTCAGTCTTAGTAAATACTAGATATATAAAAAAAAGAATCTATTATTTAACAGGAAAATCTATAAGAAGTCTATGGTTCTTAAAAAAATAATATTTTTTAGGAATCATCTGCGTGCGGAACAGACTTTTCTAATTCTAATATAAAAATTAACCATACTCAATTATTGTTACAGGTTCACGAACTACCGCCGGAGAAGCTTAAAATCCGCGAAGTGGTGAACATAGACATAGCGAACGATCCGTTGTCAGCCGCCGACTACAAGGCCGAGACTGACCCCACAAAGTTCAAGTCCGCGAAGACCGGCCGGGGACCGCTCGTCGGGCCCAACTGGAAGAACGAGGCCAAACCGGTCATGACTTGCTACAAACTCGTCACCGCCGAATTCAAGTGGTTCGGACTACAGGTAGGTCTTAGACACCTCTCGCATGCATGGTTGCCGGTTGTCATTATAATTGCCTAGCGGATCCAGCGAACTTTGTTTCGCCTAACAGTCAGTGAATGAGCAAATTAAGGAAACATTACTTGCACTGTCCGTTGCGTCCATTCCCCACTGCAGGGGCTCAGGCTTTCCTTATGTATGGTTAAGGAGGATGGGCCATGACCCTCTACGCTGGCCCTATGCGGATTGGAGGGTATTAACGACTGCAAATGCCTTCCGAAGTACGGAGTAGCTCGAGATAATAGATTTTTGGTCACCCATCCTATGACCAACCCTTGCGAAAGTTGCTTAACGACAACGATCACGGACCGCGGCGTTTAACGTCTTCACCACCGAATTATCAGTGCAGTGCAGTGAGCTGTCAGTTGCGTTTAATTATAAAACATAACTATTATCAGTTTTTTTTTATTACAATATAAACATAGAATATTTTTCAAAATATCATATTTTATTATTACTATTCCCGACGGAGACAAATCCAAAAACACAAATTCATAAAAATCGGTCCAGTCGTTATTTAGTCATAAATAATGTTATTGCAATAAATCCAAAGCTCTGATATTGATTTTAAGTTTTAATGTGTTAGAAGTTAAGTTCAAAATTTATTGCAGGAATTTGGTCCTTTGTAATTACTTGATGTGCTGTTGTATGTTCAGATAACGTTAAAATATTAAACGTGTTACTTTTATTAACGTTAAAATATTAAACGTGTTACTTTTATTTTACAGAGTAAAGTAGAAAATGTTATCCAAAAATCGGAACGGCGGTTGTTCACTATATTCCATAGGTATGTATGATAAAGTAAATAAACATTACATTATTAAAACAACAAAGTAATTAAAAAAAATATAAACGGATATAAACCATAAAGGGAAATTAAAAGAATAACATTCCTTCAAAAAGCTTTGGTGCTTTTTGAAGGAATGTTCTGAGCAATGTATGTGATGTTGTTAAATATTTATTTATTTATTATTTATTTATTTATTCTTTTAATTAATATAGATATATATAATATAGAAGATGTAATAAATAAAATCCTAATTTAACTTAAAGGTATTCTATACATATATTGATTTGTAAGACCGCGTTTTACTTTCTCTATTTCAGACAAGTATTTTGTTCGATGGACGATTGGTTCGGTATGACTATGGCTGATATTCGCGCCATTGAAGACCGCACTAAAGAGGAGCTCGAACGATTGCGGCGCGAAGGCGAAGTGCGCGGTATGCGCGCCGACAACGAGTAAACGCGCGTAGCACTATGACAGAGTGTAGCATAACGCGTGTATACTACGTTCGTAGCACTGTGACAGCGTGTAGCACTGCGCGCGTACATGCTATCTGCGTAGCACGCTACACTGCTGTCTAGCGTGCTACGTACGGCAAGTATGTAACGCACGAGTGCTTTTCGTCCACCGGGCGTAACACACATACTATACTTTTGCTTTGAAACCGTTTTGAAGTATCATTTTAGACGTAGTGATGCTGTAAAAGCATAATTTTCGAGAAATAGTAAGTGAGATTATTTATTTATTACCTTTTTGTTTGAATTATTTTGTTATAATAAGGATTTGTATTATCAATGTTCAAAATTGTGCTAGAAAAAAAATGATTAAAAAAAAGCATCCGCATTATATAATATAAACGATTACGAGATAATAACGTTCATTCTATAATTAATAAGATTTTTTAAAGTTTACCATCTTTAGCGATAAATATGAGTACGTGTTGTACGCCCGATTCGACATTATGACGCTCACGCGTTGTCCGAGCCTCATAAGTCTTAGAAATCTTACATGGATGAACACAGACCGGTATTGCCACAATTTTACTTTGTCATATAAATTTGAACTTACGTAGTGACCACAAAAGACCGACTGCTGGCAGTCATTGCTCATTTAATTCTATAAATCATAATAATTTAGTTTTAAATTTGTAACACTAAGTAAAATTTTGCCATTCTGTGTGTATTAGGTCTAGTGTTGTGTCCGATGGAGTGACAATTTATATAGATATATGAGGCGCGGGCGAATTATCTTTAGAAAAAATTACGTCATTGAAATGTGGTATAGATAATATTTAAATGAATAACTATAAGTCGATGTAGTCAGTGGTTAAAAGGTAGTGTTGTCGTTACCTAATTAAAATAATTCGATACTTTTGACAACTACTCATTATTATCAGCGTGATTCTATCTGAACACCAGCGGATCTATGCCTGAACTATAAACATTTCACTGTTCCATATTGTTCTGTTAGATAAATTATCCTGCGTAGAGGCGGGCAGTTTTTGTCTGTTGTGCATTTTATTATAATAATACAATTAAGTATTTTGGGCAATGGTAACATTTCAAGTACAGTGTTACTACAGTAAATAAATTAACGGTGCAATATATTTTTAACGATGGCAACCCGCATATTATGGTTAGGTAGTTTGGGCTATTGTGAATGGGTGTTGCAAGGTGAATGTGACTAACATATTTACGGTTGTTGTTCGATTATGTTGGGATATTGTGGAAAAACTATTAATATTTATAATGGTATTTGGTTCAATTTGCAACGCCCACCAGGTGATTTCATTGTATATTTTATATAAATAATAAGTTTTGTTGTTCAACAAATCAGTATTTTAATATGTGTGACATTCCAGATTCTATGCCGATAGTGAAGTCGTTGAACGCTATTCGATCTTATTTTCTATTATTGTATTATAGCTCTCTCGAGTTCCCCGTGCGTTATGCGACGATGCGTAAGAATGAAATCAAGTTTATATTATACATACTATCAGTACAATGTATGTTATAAAATTAAGTTTTTTTTAACTCGATACCTTAACCTGAATAATGAAGCGAGTCGTGTTATTGATGTTCCTCTATGTTTCCTGTATTGTACTATTACGACCGTGTAATAACGCTTACTCGCGTGTCGTTTGATGCCTATAGACGGTCCAAAAATCCATTTGTTGATAATAACTGATTTGTTACTGCCAATCCGTGTATGGGATATTGGACAAAGAACTATTTTTGCTTACTTATGCACTTATTTTTGTTTTTTTTTTATGTTTTTTACTTATGTTGTAATAAGTTTTACATCAAATACAGCGTGATATATATATTTGAGCTTAGTCTTTTATTCTTAGTAGACATTATTGAAATGTCGTAACCTGCTTTTAGCATTGATTAGTGCTTTTTTTAACTTATTGAGCAATCTGTGAAGGAGTACTTAATAAATTTGGATATTAGTTCACAAACCACAATTATTACAGTATCATTTTAAGAGGAATTTTAGTGAAAATAATTCATAATTTTCCTTGACTTTATTGTTTTTATTGCACACGAAATTGAATTTTATTACATCGGACATTCAACTGTAGACAGTGAACATACATTTTATAATAATTTGACTGTATAACACCTATACACTTGATATTGTTAAAAAAAAATTGTAGCAGTTACCAAAATAAAATTAAGTACACTCGTAGAAGTTTTTAATTTTCTCGCAAACTACCTGCAGTTTTGTATTTTTTTGTTTGTTTGGTACTTGAATGGTTTCGATTGCATTTTTTTCTTTATTAAATTTAATTCGCCAATTTTGAAGTAATCTATTATTCGGTAGTTTGTGTGTGTCAATGGCACATTATGGTATATCGGTGAGATCTACTATAAAATAGGTGAATAGCGCTAAAATTGTCAATTTAAAAAATGTTTAGCTAATTAAAAGTTTGAACAGTTTCTGCATTAAAATGTAAGTATAATATTAATGTAATAACATTTGTTGTAAAATGTACCTACTATGAATAATTTGAGGCCAACAGATAATAAATAATAAAAAAAAAATCTGTTATGTTTTGTTTGGATTGTATTATAGATATAAATAATAATTTTAGCTAACTTACAAATTATCATAATAAAATTATAGCTTTTACTATGTTGGTCATTTATTGAATTATAAATTTTTATAAACGAACTGCAATTGAAATAATACATTGTCTGCCAGATTTTGTACACGTCGAAAACACCCAAACTTTCCAAAAATTGAATCTTTCCAAGTATCCAATAAATCAATACTTTTGACGAAGAGTATAAATGAAAATTAATAACATGGTGATGTCGCAGAACGCGACAGAATAAATATAATGTTCTCTCAATTTTGTATACAAGCAAGCCTTAAACCAGGGCTCTCCGATTTCGTATCCGTCGAGATCTAAAAAGGACAGGCTTAAGCGAGGCCGGGTCTACCTGGTAGAATCCAAGTAAATCTACCCTACATATTGGGTTGGCACAAAAGTAATGAGACACACTAGAAAAATCTATAACATTTCCTTTTTAAAATCAATTTTTTCGATAATATTCTAGAATGTTGTAGAACATTCTAGGTACTTCTGGTGTAGGGTATATAAAGCCGCGCTCGCGATTTGTTTACTCAGTTTGAAGAAAAATGGACGAGCGACAAGTTCGAACACTATACTTATACGAGTACTTGTTAGGCCACAGTGCGCGGGCTGCGGCTGACAATATCAAAAATGCATTAGGCGCTGGAAGTACAAGCCATGCGACGGTGTCCCGATGGTTTGACCGTTTTAAATCAGGAGACAGGAGCCTTGAAAGTCAGCCACGCTCAGGGCGACCACCCGCAGTGAATGATGACGATTTGCGCCGCGAACTGCAGTTGAATCCGGATGCTACCACTCGTGAATTAGCGGAAGCACTTAAATGCAGTCACCACGCCGTGGAACACCATCTGCATGAGCTTGGTTATCGAAAAGTTTTGGCTCGGTGGGTACCGCACATCCTTACAGACGCCAGTCGTGCAGTCCGTGTCGCTATCTGTCAGTCACTTTTGCTGCGACCCCGACGTAAAGAGTTTTTGTCAGATCTGGTTACTGGAGATGAATCATGGATTTATTACGAGAACGATACACGTCGTGCTTTTTGGCCGCCTCGAGAGGAAACGCCACCAACTCAACCGAAGCCGAGTCAAAAGAACCGCCGAAAAATTCTGCTTTGCTGTTTCTGGGATGCGCAAGGCATACTGTTTTATGAGCTATTACACAATGAAACTATAAACGCTGACAAATATTCAACCCAGCTTACCAAATTATCTGTCGCTATCAAGAAAAAACGACGAAGACGACTCAATGTAGTTTTACTGCACGATAACGCTCGACCTCACGTCGCATCTGTGGTTCGCCGGCAGTTGGAGAACTTGGGCTGGGAGACGATACCTCACCCACCTTATTCCCCAGACCTCGCCCCATCAGACTATCATTTGTTTAGAGCCCTGAAACAGCATTTGCGGAGTAAACAATTTAATAATTTCTCTGACGTAGAGGCGGAGTTGAACAACTTTTTCGAGGCACAGCCATCAGAGTTCTGGGCAAAAGGCATCCAAACTTTGCCGGATCGTTGGCAAGAAGTCTTAGATACTAATGGTAATTACATCATTGACTGAACTTTTTTTATTGTAATAATAATAAAAAAGTAAAAACTTAAACCAAGTGTCTCGTTACTTTTGTGCCAACCCGATACAATAGTACATTTCAAGATCACATTTTTTTCGTGATCATTACATTACGGTGAAGAGGTCACACCGTTGTACATTTTCTACATAGTTGTGACGTAGCGAGCCCCACTGCTCAACTTTAATGCCTATTATCTATGCCCAGGGGTGTATTTACCCTAGGGCCAGAAGGGCTATAGCCCGGGGCGGCAGGCCGCGAGGGGCGGCCCAGGGCTAGGGCTTTGGTTTGGACGTTTGAAAAAATACAAAAAATATTTTCAGACTTAAGCCTAGAACGCCCCTGAGCCACCTTTCCACATGTTGATTTAATGTCTGAAGAAATTTGAAATTCAATTAAAGTATGAAAGCCGCCCCTTGTGATGTGCGTGGATTTCATGTCTGGAGAAATTCGAAATTAATTGAAGTATGCAAGCCGCCCCTTGTTCTTTCCTGAACCGGTTGAACCGTCTATTTTTTTCCCAATCCAAGCGAAGATCCGAGGTTCAATATCGCTTCTTGAACAAAAAAATATTTAAAACCAGACTCATAAACAGAGAGAAAGTTTGTCGTAATTATTTAATATATTCAAAATCGAAGGGTTCCATATTTTGTGGACCATGTCGTCTTTTCGAAAGTGAACATGGAGGTCAACTTACTTCTGAATTAGGTTTTTCTGATTGGAAACATGCTCACGAGAGACTTAAGGTTCATGAGTCTAGTTTGGGGCATAAAAACTGTTTGCTAAAAATGAAAAATCGGGGACAAGTAGAGACCCGGGTTGATTCTCAATTATATATACAATTAGAAGATGAAAAAAAGTATTGGCGTAACGTATTACTTCGAGTAGTTGTAGCTGTGAAACATCTAGCTACGCGTGGACTTCCTTTTCGTGGAAAGACAGATAAATTTGGATCCACAAATAATGGAAACTTTCTGATGATGTTGGAAGCTATTTCAGAGTTTGATCCATTTCTTGCCAAACATATTGAGCATTTTGGCAACCCAGGAAAGGGCAACACCTCTTACTTATCATTTGCAACATATGAAAAAAATATTAAAATTATGGTTGACAAAGTTACCGAAACCATAATTGAGCAACTTCAAAAAGCCAAATACTTTTCTTTTAGTGTTGATTCTACTCCGGACATAACCCATGAAGATCAACTTTCTATAATTGTGCGATTTGTTCAAGAAAATGCAGAACCAGTTGAACGTTTCCTTTGCTTTCTGCCAAATACTGGTCACAAAGCAGAAGACATGTTGCAAGCCATTTTAAAGACTTTTGACATACTGAATATCGATATTGCCAATTATAGAGGTCAGTCTTATGATAATGCAAGCAACATGTCGGGGCAGTATAACGGCCTGCAGGCAAAGATTAAAGAAAAATGCCAATATGAAATATATATACCTTGCGCCGCACATTCCTTAAATTTGATCGGATCCTCAGCAGCTGAGTGTTGCCCAGAAGCTACAAAGTTTTTGGGAGTATTGCAAAATCTGTACGTATTTTTTACAGGATCAACGGAACGTACAAAAATATTGCAAACATTTTTAACGGAACCTGAAAATGTAACCGTTAAAAGTTTGTCACATACGCGGTGGTCGGCAAGAGATGATGCTTGCTCGAGCCTGAATAAAAATTGGGAACAAATAATTAAAGCTCTGGAAGCAATAAAAAGTAACTCTTCGCAACAAAAAGCCTTAATCAAAAATGAAGCTACAGGTTTATTGGCTCAACTGAATTCCTTAGAAACAGCGATATTATCGGAATTCTGGGGATCAGTCCTAAAACAATTTAATACCGTTTCTAAAGTTTTGCAAGGTGTGGACACAAACGTTGAGGTAGTCTCCAACCTTTACGATTCCCTGATTACTTTTGTGAAAAATCAACGCGAATTATTCGATGCATTTGAAAAAGCTGGAAAAGAAAAGTGCACTGAAGATTACAAAGATAGCCGGAAAAGGATAACAAAAAGAAAAAAACGAGACGATGAGCAACGCGAAGGAGAAGTAATTTTACAAGGACGGGACTATTTTAAAGTGAATACTTTTTTGCCAATATGCGACCAACTGTTGGGCGAGTTAAGGAGGCGTAAAACATCCTATGACGCTGTAACCGCCAAATTTGTATTTCTATCCAATTTAAGTACACTATCTGAGGCGGAAATTAAATTGAACGCATTATCACTCCAAAAGTCTTATCCTACTGATCTTGCGGATGATTTAAAGGATGAATGCATACTATTAAAGAATTTTTTGCCATCTCAGGGACAAGAAACTAAAACAAGTTTACGCGAACTAAACTTATTAATTAATAAAAAGGATCTGAAAGTGGCGTTTCCTTACATTGAAATTGCGTTGCGCATATTTCTTTGTACTGCAGTAACGAATTGTAGTGCAGAACGCTCATTTTCGGTACTCAAACGGATAAAAAACTATTTAAGATCGCGTCTTATCGAAGAACGGCTTAATAATTTGGCAATTTTGAACATCGAAGCCGATTTAACAAATAAAATTGATTATGACGATGTAATAAACGAATTTATTAAAAATTTTGTCCACAGAAAAAAAATGTAAAATATAAAATCGATAATTTTTTTTTTGTTTCCTTTCATTCCTTGATGGGGCGGAAAGCTACAGTAGCCCGGAGCGCGCAATCTTAAAATACGTCCCTGTCTATGCCATTTCTTGTTAAAATGAAGCAAAAAAATGTATCTAATATTTTTCTATTATCTGACTGACGTACTAAATAATTACCTTTTTTTACCCACTCTTCATCAGGGTTGCTAGATTTTTCACCCTGTAAGGGACAAATGTTTAAATAGGCAGAAAAATACGAGATATCAATTTCATATCCGGGACAAATAAAAAAAAAACAAAATTATTTACTACGATGTTTTTTTTATATTTTTCAGATTTTTTTATACTTTTTTATTGGATTTGACTTAATTAAAAATCAATACATTTATAATCATAGTTAAATATGGTTATTAATGTTTTTGGTTTTTTTGTTGTAATTTGGGGGACATTTGTTTCATATATTAGTCCCGTTTAAAACTATTTGTAAAATCGAATTTATATACAGCACAGAATCGGAACCGGCGGTACATTTGAATTTATACCTGAAATACGGGACGTCACGCCCTCCTCTCAAATCCGTTGTGAAAAAAAAAATTAATGTCGATTTTTAGTTTTAACGTTAAAGAAATATTACTACGTTCACTTCTCTTACCTTAGATAATGCAATTAAAACACAGTTTGACAAAGACGATGGGTTTCCTTCAATTTGGTAAGTTTCTGCAACAAGATAACTACCATTGCCAAACTAAAAAATTTGCTAGCTCTTGAATAATTTGGAATCTGTCATCATAAGTTCTAGAGTTGACGCTACAATAAGGAAAGGAAGAGCATGGAATGGAGAAAAAATAACTAAACAAGTCACGAACAATGAAATTTTAAATTTAATTGTTTGAGTTTACTCATTGACCGTCCAATCCATAAAACATTTATAATGTATGTACACAAAATACCTTAAAATTAAATAATAAAAAAAACAACATAATTTCGATATACATAAGTAATTTTTTGACATCTCATAATAAATTGTCATTTATAAATTATATTCTATAGTGACATAGACAGGTCCAGGTTCGTTTACCGGTTGAGTCATTTTTTATTCATACAGCACGTATTTTGAACTAAAACTGCTTTCAACTCTACACACTGATTATTTTCGAAAAAGTAGGTACCTATTAAAGGTAAAACATGTTTGAATAGTTGTTGAGTAATGTTTCATTCATTACTATGAAACGGATATTTTCTGTAGCGGCATAATAAACGAAACATAAATGTGTGTATTAAACTTAAGGGGAAAACCCATAAGTTTAATATAATACATCTAAACGAGTTTTTTAAACATCCCTCACCTAAAGGCGGTAAATTAATATGGAATTGACATTTAAGTATAAAACAATTACATATTCATTATCTATACTTAATCTTATCTAATTAACAATCATTCCGTTTTATATGGTGATCGCAATCCTACCCACTTCGAACAGAAAGGAATTTCTTTACATCTCGCATTACGTATCCGAGCAGATCAAAATTTCCTAATAGAAAATTCAAAACAACTCTTAAAAAGTTGTTCTGGAAATCAAATTGATGCCGTTATGTATTTTAAATTTTTTGAAAAATTGTCCATTTCAGATTCTCTTTTTTGATATACAGGTTAACGCAGTATGTCAATTTTCTGCAATGTATTTTAACCTCTACCTTAAATGTAATAAGTAATAACAAAATCGAGTGGCGAAATTTCACAGTTTTGTATAGTCTGATAAATCGACACTTCATAATCAAAAAGGAGGAGGGTTTCTGTTTTTTTTTTAATTTTTTGAAACGCTTCTTCTACCTAATAAATAATACTTTCAATATACATACTACTTTATTTTTTCAAATATTTTTGAGCTATATTTGTAAAACTACCTCGTTTTGAAGAATAGCTAATGGCTGTAAAGAGAAACATCGTCCGCGCTGAATCTAATACGATCTGTAGTTTGGGCTTTCCAGTGATACGTCCAAAGTAGAGTAAGAGGAACATGAAAATTCTAGTTTCATTTAAAAAAAAAAACGAGTCCTTTGGCACGTTAGAGGTGGACAAAATTGCGATAACCATTCACACACATTTTTGGCTAAAATCGCAATATATAAAAAAAACTATGACAAATAACACTTTTTAAATCTTATGCACTTCACAAAAAAATACATTTTTGAAATGTATAAAATAATTTATAACTAATAAGTCTAATAACAGACATTGTGCCATATTCAATAAAACATAATTAAATACATACAATTTTAAATACTTCAACAAAATTATTAGAACTCTATGGGAGAGTGAGCATCATAACGGAAGTCTAATGCATTCTAAGTGTTGAAAGTATAAATTGAACTTTCAATTCGATTATTCAATTCAATTCAATAGTATGAGTAGAAAGTTCAAGAAATATATTTAATTTTAACATTACAAGAATGATTTATTGCAATGACGCAGCTAGATATTTTCCAGGTGATAGTCTGGGGTGCAATTCTAACCATAGGATATGACATCTTTGAATGTTATGGCGATATTTCGTTTCATTTTACTATTTGTTGGATAAACGATTAAGTTTGTAAAACTTAATCACCATTCTTTATAATTCGTCAATAGCAGTAACATGATAATAAATATCGCTATAACATTCGCTAAGATTTTGTATCTTATATCTAGAAAGCTTGGCGGTAGCATGCCAGGTTTCCAGTTGCCTGACGTGCGGGCGGAGGGAGATAGGTAGGTGGAATTGACCTGGAGCCTGAACATGGAATATTTCTCAGAAGACCATAATGATGTACGAAATTCAATTTAAATCAAATAAGCTTTTATTTGGTATTTATAATTCGTCCGTCGCTATTACATTATATGTCAAATTAATAAAATTTAACTAAAAAGCGCTATAACATCATCGTACGTATCCTATGGCTAGAGTTATAACTAGAGGAGTTAGGCCGACATCCCTTTTATTATGCCCTTGGTTTTTGTTTTGTACTGAAATAAAAATATCTTTATTCAAGTAGGCTATTTCAACTTTTGAATCGTCCAAAGTACTCACTTTATCATCAAGGGTCGATGCAAATCTAGGGATAAACCCAGCTAGTTTGGCCGGACATTTGGGTAGAAAGGCCGGATAACCTCTATTATTGAGGATTTTGTGTCTCAGTTTTAACTGATACGATAGAAAAATTGTATGTATAATCAAGCATTATTATTATTATCATAAATGTGTCGACTTGCCTGCGCTCGCTCGTTTGCAAAATTTAAAAAGCTGGACAAACCGGACATGGATCATTTAGGCTAGACATGCAATCAAAAAGCTTACCTGTCCGGCTATATCCGGACGCCCGGCAAAGCAAATCTGACGGAAGATCCGTCGCGTAATACCAGAACTGATAAAAATACACTCCACCTATAATCCATCAAAGCGTGAATCTTGCGTAAGATGTACACCAGCCGTAAATGTTGCATTATGCAGTCCACAAAAATAATATACATTAACACATTCAGTCGTCCACTTCTAATTCAAGTTCTATATCAGCTAGACTTATTCTTCTAAGAGTATTGATAACCATATATCTGGAGAGAAAAACATAGAGGTAACGAAACCATAACATCTGAGACTGATGGTGTTTCATAGCACGGACTATGCGTCTGCTCTCAGTCCACCGTAGAAAGTATCTGTAAGAATAAAAACAACTATTAATATCAACAATATATTTGACTTGCTTTCTATTAGCGGCTTCGCACGCATGATCCTGTATCTATACATAGTATAAAGTCGCTTCCCGCTATCAGTATGCTGAGATCTTTTTAACTACATAACAGATATGAGAGTGATTCGTGATAAAGGTTATCTTTGCTTGGTCCTGTATTATAAATGTATAATACAGGACCACGCGGGCGAAGAAAATTAAAAAAACCTTTGCATTTTCGTTTCTCTATCTCTTGATAGATAGTTTCTCTATCTCTATCCATGATCCCAAATATCAGAAAAATTAACCACTTAAAGCAAAATTATAATCGACAAACTTTACCCTCAACTCTAAAAACATCATAACTTAGTCTCCTGGGACCACCTGGAACTTTTGGTATACTATATATAAATACATACAAGTGACATTTCTCAAAGAAAAACTATAAAAATACGTTTCTTCTAGATGATTTATGCTTGTTTTTTTTTAAGATTTTTCTCCCTTAAGAGAAAATCGGAGCTATTTGCCATCTAATTTGCTGCTCTCGTGAATTACCCGGTTAGCCCTACCTTAGATCGGGCCCTGAGCAATATTGCAGAGAATATAAAATCGTTTGTAGAAATTTGATATTTTGTGGTAAACTGAGATACTGCTGCGTGTACCTTTATGTATAACGAGTGTAGTGCACCAATGCATTCATATGCGAAAGCAAAGCTCTGCGAAACTTCTGCCTGAATATAGTACCCTGCATTTTTTCGCAAAGGAATGTCATTGTAGCATTAAGAAAATTTTATATACCAAGACACACTTAAACAATGTGAAACTCCATTAGCGAAATGTCATGTCTGCTTCTGCAACATGGAGTAGCAAAATCCAAAGGGATGCAACTATTACATCAAGATAATGAAACATCTTTGACACCAGTGAATGCGTCGGTATACTAACATCCTAAATATTAAAATGGTATTAATTCAAAAGTAACTTACCTTTTGGAAGACAAAATAAAGCTAAGCGGAATATCCAAGAAACTTATATACTTTCTTACTATATTTACAGAGTCTAATGTATACACTGTACATCCTGAAACAAAAAAATGATGTGACATTTCTTTTAAATATAATAACTTCATGAAAATATAGGTAGACGTATTATTGACTAATATACATATTCAAACATATAATGTAAAGTCCACACACACACACTACCTACCTTTGCCGGTTTGAACATAATAAAAATTAGGGAATATAAAAGTTAAATGCATTTGAACTTAATAAATTATATACCTATACTAGCTTTACCAGCAGCTTCATCTGTGTGGTCCTTAGGGTTTAGTGAGATAAAAAGTAGCATATATGGTAATTTAGGCTTAAAATTATCCATAATATACCAAATTTCATTAAAATCCGTTCAGTAGTTTTAAAAAAAAAAAGAGATAGGGTAACAATTTTTATTTCATATTTATAATATTAGAATGCGTCCACTAGATTGGGTAGCTTACGTTTTTTGTTGGCCTTAATGGGTTGATAGCATCAAATAGCTTTTCATATGGTCCTAATAAATGGAGCTAATTATCCATCTCAAAGACTTTTGTGGTTAATTCATTAAGATGTAGATAATTGAGAAAGTATGATGATGCTCCAGACATGCATAACTGAGATAGCTTGATATTATATAATAAGTAAACAATAGATACTTACTTTTGGGCATTAGTTTTTCAACAAACATATATGCAATAGCATAGAAAATGGCAGAATGATTTCTGTGGGAAGACACACCGCCTCTATCAAAAGTAACAAGAGTATCTATTTCTAATGCCTCTAAATCATGTTGTATCAGTTTAGCAACAACAGAAACTGGCCAGTGCAATTTAGGATCGTCTCTCAGTCTTGTGTCTGTGACCAGACAGATGTTTTGATTGGGCACACCTAGTTCCTGGCAAGCACTCCATAGCTCTTGTTTTCGAATGCTACCTTTCCCTTCAAAATTTCCTGAAAAAAAAAATAAGTTTATATTTCTTCTATTTCTATAATACTTTCCTCAAATTCATTTTTGTTTTGTTAAAACATTGTTGTCCCAAAACATAATCAAACTGTTCAACTATCTTTTTTTTGTTAGATTAACATAAAGTTTATTAGATTTGATTAACACATCCATATGGATATTGATATTTCTCTCACACTATTAACTTTGTAACTGCTCTCGCTAACTTATGGTAACAAAGCAGTGGCATGGTTAGCTAAAGAACAGATAAAAGCACTTGATCAGGTTCAGTTTAGTATTTTTCTACAAATATTTATTTATTCATTTTGGGAAACAACAGCATTGAGTTACACATGAATATACATAATTCAATTAAGTAGTACAGTAGCCTAGATAGTTTCCACTACTAAACACAAATAGATAAATTTTATAAAATAGGAAATTATTATTACATACCATTAGACAAACATAAAAGGTAAACATCGGCACCTTGCTCACAGAGTCTGAATATTGTAGGTCCAAAAAACATGCATTCATCATCTGGGTGCGCCACCACTACCAAGACTCGCTTTGCTCTAAGAGCTCCTCTTGTTCGTGTTGGTAAACGTCGCGCATATCTGCGATACACAACGCAACAAACCAACAAATAACCCAAAACCCATAAGCCAATATAGAGGGCAAAATTCCTAAGGTACAATAACGTTTCCGCTAAAAATTTTAAATAAAAACTATACAAACATTCTAAGTTATAAGAGCTTATAATTAACATTTCTGACTAGAATGTAATTTAATATAAATCTTATTCAATTCATTGTTTACTTTTTAATTATTTATTTATAATTAACATAAACTTCTTTTTTTTCTTTTATTATTATTAATGGCTTATCTGCGCATTTCGCACAATTCCGCCAATGTGAAGTGAATAAATTAATTACTACATGTAAATAAAATGAAAAGAATAAATAATTTGGTAACCTATACTACGGTCAGCATAGAATTTCGTCCATGGACAGGCGAAGGAACTAAGCCATACAGCCAAATCTTGGGTTATATCCTTTATTATATTATTTTATAAAGCAAAGCCTAATCTTTTCTTCTTGTCTTCTTTTTATTCTGTCTTCTTAATTTTTTTAAAGGCTGATAGCCAGATCTTTAGTTTTAAATTTCTATGTCTTGTCCAGGGTTATTATTTTACATATCAAGCTAAGAGATCCTGAAGGGAAGGTGGGATAGTCTTAGGTATATCTTTTCAGTAGGTGATGAATCAGAACGAGTCGCTGGATATTGTATGAAAATATCATACAATATCCAGCGGACAGCGTGCATGCAAAAAGTTGGGCATTAAAAAAAATATGAGTTGAATATTCGGTGCATACGGGAGATGTTATCATATGCATACGGGAGATGTTATCATATGCATACGATGTAAGTGAGCTTTAAATCGACGATGTCCAAATCAAAGATTACAATAATTAATATACTGGATTCTAGTTAAATATGTCGCATCTCTACCTACTGTGATGTCAAATTTGTTATCTGTCACTCCACTTCCTCGGACAAGGTTATTTAATTTCATTGTTGTTTTTGTGTTCTCAGGAAATAATATGATCAAAATTTAAAAAGTTTGAAGTCAATTTTTGTGTCATAATTAATAATTCGCCGTGGTGACTTCTGCAATCTGCACGTTCACTTATTGTTTACGAAATGATTCAGCCAGATATGTCTGCGGCCATGGGTTTATTATCCCATTTGAACACTGATGAACTCAAAGAAATATTAAACGACGACAACAAATTCGATGCAATCCTAAAGGATGTCGGACAGGTATCAACAATTAGTAGAAAAGTACTTGTACTATGTAGTTTATTTTAAAATAAATAAACAAATTTTGGTAGAAATAACAATAGCAGATAGGATAAACACCACTAGCTCATAACAAAATATAGCTTTGTTAACTTAATTTCTTAGTTCCTTATTTTGAGATTGTAGCTTTTATAATCAATGAGGATATCTGTAACTTTACACAGCATACAATTTTGTACCATTTGAAAAGGTGTTTACATAATACATTCATTACTTATCTAACCATTCTAGTCAGAATTGAATAATTAACATTATAAATTTAATTATTAAGATTTTCTCTTCAATTTTGATTTGTTGTTTATTTCTTATGTGTTATTAAATAACAGGTTAAAGAATGGGAGGTTGAAAAGAATACAATAATTGCAAGCAACAGATCATTGGCAGAATTCAATTTGGCTAAGGAACCAGAATTAGAGAAAATGAAGCAGCAAGTGTTAGAGAAATCTGAGGTGGGAGAACAACTCTGCTCACATATAAGGGAACTGCTGGAAGAGTATAGTAAGTAACATTATAATATTTGTCTATTAATGTGGACAACTCTTTTGTGAAATATTTCAATCAAAGACTTCTATGTATATAACAGTATAAATACAAGTCTTTGATTCAAAATATGTCTGTTTCTGTCCTTATTTAAGTTATAGGGAAACTTGATTTTCATAACTGCTTAGTGCTACTTCTCATGAAAGCAATAATTATACTTCATATTTGTCCTGAAAATGATTAGAGATTACATGCAGCAGTACAAAAGATGTTGTTGTCTTCTTTACAGTTTAAAAGTTAACAATTTTTATTTAAGTAAAAGATACCATTGACTATCCTTTTGTCACATTCCCATCATTGCTCGTTTTGGTGTTGTCTAAACCACACACATTTCTCCTCTTTAATAACTTGTGGTTTAAATAACTTAAATAAAAGTGAGTCAAATAAGAATATGGATATGAGAAAGCGATCTACTAATTACTGATAATGATTAATTAGATATTGTGTTTAAAAATTAATGAGAAATGGAATGGAATGGGAGAACAACGTGAAAGATTATAGTTACCCCTTACAAAGGAATGATGATGTACAAGGTAAAAAAATGTGGGGTTAAAAAAATATATTATAAAATATTTTTTTATGTAAGAACTATAAATAGTCAAATACGTCCATGTAATAAATATACACAGAACACATATCTCTCGACTTTTGTGTGTAGATCTACAATTTCAATTAAACTTTGTCCCAATGTAAAGTTTGTAAATAGACAGCAAGAGCATCAAGTATGTACCCACTTCACCAATTTAGTCATATTTAATATAAAAAATTTATTTGATTTATTTATCCCCTAAAGATATGAGACTAGATGTTTTTTTAATGATACACATGATAAACATTTCAAATGTATTTCTATTTAACAGGTAGTGCATGTGAAAATTTAAGAAACAAGCATCATAAAACAATACCTACTTATTCGCAGAAAAGCACTAAAATCAAATAGCAAGTTGCATAATAACTTATGGCAGGGGTCAGCATTTAATCTTAGTCAAATAATGTTCTTAATAAATATAATTAAAACAATTTGCAATAACCACTGCAGGGAATTTGCCATTATGAAACTGAAACAAAATATAAAAAAAAATAATTCAAATGCCATATCAAAACCTGCATTGGAGATAAAATCTACTACAAATTGCCAGAGGTATATCCAATTACTAGGATCATGTACTCTAAACTCCAGGGGCTTGCACAGAGATTTGGGCACTGAGTATGCAGCATGTGCACCTATATTAAAAAAAACTTACCAATTTCCACCATAGTTTCAGTACTGGCTAATGATGATCATTTGTATGTTTTTTGGTCACCATGGACATTGATATGCAAGTTATTTGTAAATTACCACAAAATGATTATGTTTTATTGAAATAGTAAGAACTCCTGAACTGGTACTACTTATTATTTTAGACATTGTTTACGTAAACAGTCAGCGGCCGATAAAACGTTTGGTATCAATCTGAACAATCAATAACAAGTGCTTTTAATATTACGAGGGCGGGATGATAAATAGCTAGCCTAGTATAGAAAAACTTGAATTACAGCCAGTTGCACAAACGTCCATTAAAATTGACATTAGTTTAAATGACATTACCCATACAAATTTGTCATTCATTAGAGCTTAAAAACGTCATAAAACCTTAATGGATGTTTGTGCAACTGACCATTAGTGTGTATATATGTGTGTGTATATTTATTTTTCGACATAGTCTTCTTAAAGCGCTATGCACTTCATCCATCTATGCTCTAAAGCCTTGATGCCTGCAGTGGTTTTCTGGAAGCCCTTCTAAATAACTGTCCACGGCAGACATCACCTCGCTATTATTTTCAAATCTTTGTCCATCTAAAAAAAATTTGAGCTTAGGGAATAGATGAAAGTCAGATGTGTGGTAGCAAATCATAATTTAATTCTTTGAATTTCGCCATCGCAGTGATGCACGTGTGAACGCGCGCATTACCCTGATGAAAGATTATTTTTTTTTTAGCCAGGCCGGGTCTTTTTTCACGAATACACACTTGTAATTTATCCAGTAGATCAGCATAATATTCGCCATTTATGTTTTGTCCTTTTGGAAGGTAATCAATCATCAATATACCCTTCGAATCCCAAAATACTGACGCCATGACTTTCCCCGCTGATTTCACGGCTTTTGCTTTCTTTGGAGCCGGGGATCCTTTTTCCGTCCATTGTTTAGACTGAATTTTTGATTCAGGTATATAGTGGTGAACCCAAGTCTCGTCTGTAGTAACAAACCGTCGCAGAAAATCAGTTGTATTGCTCTTAAAGCGGTCCAAACATTCTTGTGAAATTTGCATACGAACGCGTTTTTGGTCAACTGTAAGCAATCGCGGCACCCACCTTGCGGATAATTTTTTCATACATAATTCTTGAGTCAAAATGTAAGCGCCCGTTCTTTAGAGATGCCTACAGTATCAGCTATCTCGGAAAGTTTCAATCTTCGGTCAGCTAAAACTGCATTATGAATTTTGATCACAATTTCTGGAGTAGTGGCACTTTTTGGACGTCCTGGACGATGTTCATTGGTGCTGGCACGGCCACGTTTAAATTCAGCCATCCATTTTTTTATGGTCGCATATGAAGGAGCATTTTCTCCCAAAACATCCTTCATCTCCGAAAAAATCTCTCCACCTTTTAATCCTTTTAAATGCAAATACTTTATCATAGCTCGTAGCTCAATTTTATCCATTTTGCAGAAAAAACAAAAGAATGCTTTTTGAAATGTCAACAGGGAAAGAAAAACTATACGATCGATTTGAAATTTGGAACACTGGCAATGAACCAATGAATAAAATACGAAGGAGATTTTATATCGTTATTATACAAAATATGGGTCGGGCTAGCTATTTAACATCCCGCCTACGTAATATAACAAGAGTAGAAAAATGTATTGAAAAAGGGAATAAATCCTTTTACAATATTTTAAAAATTTATACGAAACTTATATAAAAATAGGTCCAATTATTATATTTGATCAATTTTGTATTCACAGTGCTATACTGAAAAATACTTTTAATGAAAAAAATCCACACTGGCTTTTTTTTCAGCACAGGGTACTCCCTGAAATATTAATTTAATAGTCTTCTAATGTGTCCAGATTCAGACATATCGATGTCTCTAATAGGATTTTTATTAAAACGTCTGATAAAAGGGATATGTTATCATAAAATTAATAACAAAAATGATTTTATAGAAGTTTATAACTATCAGAACCCCTTTTCGTTAAAAGGTTCCAGTAACGACAGCTATGAAATAGTCCTTAAAAAAAAATATCGATTTCAGAGAATAACGCAGTTCGTGTCTTCAAAAATATCAGAAATTTATTCCGATATTCGCCATAACTTCATCACATAACTTTGAACCCTTTTGATTAACATATTTAAGTAGAAAAAAGAAAAAATATATATATTTGAAAAATTGGTTGAAGCTACGAAACAAACACTTTGACTTCCATTTTTGGCGGGAAAACTATTTCGTTTTGACTCAGTATTAAACTTTACGGCCAACCAAGCTATAAAATAACGTAAAATAACTCATGGTCTTTGTTTATTACCAAAGAGCACTATAAATGATTAGGGTCAGGGAGGCAACAGTGACTCACTTTTTTTCCAAAGCTTGAAAAAAATAAATACGGCTCTAACATTGGCCTAAAATTTGCTCACATTTTAGATACACTATTGAACTGTAACTGAGCACTCATGGTTTTCCATTATTTACTACTTAAGTGAAAATAGGAACCTAAAACAAAAAAATGATAATTGAGCCACTGTGGACAACTAGGTGTACACACTGACTCACTACCGTGGTACACAGTGGCTCTAGTGGTACACAGTGACTCGGCAGTATGAATAAGAAAAGAAAATGCCCATTTCACGTAGATCTTTTATTAGTAATAATAAAAAAATGTTACAAGCTACTTTTATAATCAATCAACATAACTCTTAGAACTTTTAATGCTAAATAATCAGATCTTAAGTCATCTCAGTCTCTTCGTTAACAATTTTAGTCTCTTTTTATCGATTGACAACCTTATTCAAAATAATAACATATATAATGATGAATTAACATCTGTTACACTTAGAAAATACTATGTTTTAAGCAATCAACGATAACAATAACCATTTGGGTATGAAACCTAAAAACCTATGGTTTATGAAAAACAACATAACATAATTAAAACAACAATCATTTGCATTATCTTCAGAGTAATAAAAAAGTATCAACTAATTTCTAATAAATGATAAGACGAGTAAAATCAATCGGGAAATTGTAGAATGGCCAAAAAGACGTACCAACTAATGTAGGCTTTGGAAGAATATATTTTATATCATTTTCCTTCACAAGGGAAAGATCGGGTTTAACAGGCATATGGAACTTATAAGTACCAGCCTTGTGTTTCAAAAATGACACATAATATTCAAGGTCATTATTTCTTTTTTCTATTACCTTCCCAATATATAACAACCTCTGCTTTTTAATTGCCAATTCGACTATAACATATTCTCCTTCCTTGGGTGGATGAGGTAATGAATTCTTTAAATCTTTTTCTCTTAGAATATTCTCATTATCATTTTCTTATAGATTCTCCAGTCCTTATAAGCTGCAAACCTTCTTTAATTTTTTCATACGAAGAGTTCCCTATTTTTCTCTCGGATTTTTTTCGTGGCATTCTATAAATAAAATAACAAAAGAGGATTAAAAAGTTCGAAAAATATTGAATTTACATAAGCTACAAAAGTACTAAAATTGAGCCACTGTGTACCTTTAAAAATTGAGTCACTGTGTACTTCTACGCCATTTTGAAAACATTTGATCAAAGCATCCGTGATGTAAAACATAGAAGTCAAAATACGGGTTAAAGACAATTAATACAAAACTTTCTATCCCATAAATATGATAGCTATTACATATAGCAACAAACAAAGACATGAAAACAATCGAAACTCACCCTAGAATGTAATTTAGTGGGCGCGAAAACTGAAATCACTCCCTCACACTTCCGCACGGCGCTCGACCGGCGAGCAAACTTGTTTAAACGTGCTCGGGTACCAAGACCTTCGAATCGGTAAAAGAGACAAATATATATTCCTATCCCTTTAGGTCGGCACACGGCTGAGCCACTGTAGCCGACCGAGTCACTGTTGCCTCCCTGACCCTACATAAATAAAGTATTTGTTGGTACACATTTTAGATACCCTTAGCTGTATTATGCAGTAATATAATATTCTATATAATTCATAAAAATATTTTTTGAAGTGAGGACGGCAACGTCTCGTGTGCTGCTGCATGTAGTCTCTAATTATCTTTGGTCAAAACATTCGTATAATTAGATATCAAACTTCACAACGTAAATTCATTTGATTCTTAATTAATAAATAAGATTAATATAAAAATAAATATTTGTAGCCATAACATACATATTATGTCGAATGCATATGGTATGTTTCTTGTATTTTTCAGAATCAAAATCAGCAGGTATATCGGCTGATACAACATTAGCTTTACTTCAGACATCAGCTGCTGAAACTGAAGAACAATCAGATAACATCGCTCAAGATTTCCTTTCTGGAAAAATAGATGTGGAAAAATTTCTAGAAGACTTTAAGCCAATACGCACAAAGATGCATCTCAGAAAGTTTAAAGCTGATAAAATGAGTGAACTTATTAGGAGTGGTCAAATATCATATGGAAATGGATATTCAAAACCATATCTACCATATCCAAACTATGGACCCCCGAGTGTTCCAAGTGTGCCATATCCAGTAGGTCCACTAAACATGCCAATGCCAGGTATGTATGGAAACCACTTTTAAGATCGAGATTTGTGAAGTGTGACTTTAAGATGCCTAATAGTTCATTTTCCATGGTTTAACTAACTTTGCATTATGTTTTAAATTATCTTTTGAAATATATATGTATTTAATTACTGTTTTATGGAAAATTTTCATTTAAAATTATTTCCATTGCTATTGCCACTTCAATAATATAATGCACTCAAAACAAAAATGTAAAATTTTCCCCACTTGATTTTAAGCCTTAAAGCTTTGAGTGTAGTTTAAAATAAACTACAGAATTTTTACAAATTGTGGTAACCTGACATGAGGCATGTGTATCTTCACCCTCTTGAAAGATCGAGATAATGAAGATGATTTTATTATTCTTAGGATAGGTTTGATTGGTTGTTTGTGTGATATAAGTTTAACATACTTGGTTACAAGTGTACATTGTAACCAAGTATGTTTACAATTTACTTGGTTACAATGTACCTCCTAATGTTGTACAGATTTAGATTATTATGATAATTAAATTAGACTTGTGATAGATAATCAGAAAAGTTAATATTGTGTAAATGTAAAAATTATAATTATTGTTTTAATCATCATTTGTTATTAAAGAATATAATTACAAGTCATAATGTTAGTAATAATTATCTTTTTACAAATGTAGTACATATGATTTATAATAAAAATCTACATGAATGATTAAGTCAGAGTATGTTTAGAAGTTTTTAAAGATGGTTGGGCTCCAACCCATCCAGCAGAAATTTCCAAACTAGAGACTAGCAGTATTGATTATTCTGCTCAGTCCCTGTTCAATAAACACAGTTAATTTTAATATGTTAGTTAATTTTTCAACATTATGTACACAGCAACATATTAGGTAATAGAAAAAAAAGGCTGTCAATGGAAATTCCAGTTTAAAATTTTATTAAATCTAAAAGATTTTGGCAAAATGAAATTGGAAAAATTTTATACTTTTGAAAAACCTGTGTTGCTGGCTGTACCTATAAAAATATTAGTTTTATATGTATGTCAATTGTATAATACTTTTAAGAGCCTGTTTTTAATTAGAGATAGAATTTCTAAACAGTCCGCTTCATGTTGGTGCTTGAAAAAATGAGAAGTAGTAAGAAATAATGTATGATGATGCACTGATATAGATATTTTATTGATATGATAAATATATTAATATGAGATAGCCTTCAGTGGTTTAAGAAGGAATTAACCATGCACATGAAATATTAAAGCCCTTTCAACATTTGAGTAAAAAATCATAGAGTCAAGAACATCACCTTAATTCAAACTGTCTCACATTGATAATGAGATACTAGTGCATAATGAAAGGTTAATAGTATGAGTTTTAATTTTTCCTGACCAATGTATAAAGGTAAATTAACATTAGATATTAAAATCACGAAACTTGTTTTATTCTTTATTAATTTATTATCACAATTTTACTACAACTAATGATAAGGCAGTAAAATATATATATACACTATTATACAAAAAAAAATAACCTGAAATAATTTAATATGAGTACAATAATTTTATCAAAATCTAAATATTATACACTCACAGGCACAATGAACCGCCCACCTGTATCATTCATCACCCTGTTTGGTTCCGTCACCTACTGCTTTTTTTTTTTTGTTCTCTAGCAATAAATAAAACGCTGTTGTTACCGAGTTAAAATTTCCTGTTATTTTTTAACATAGTGGGCGTATATTGTTTAATTTGAAATTATAGTGCTTGCTCATTGTTTATTATTGCAAAAAACGCCAATTGATGCATCTGATATAGCTAGGGCAGTGGCTTTAGCTAATGCCGGGTATAGCTAGCGTCGCATCGCTTGCGCACTCTGTGTACCTCGGTACGGTAACAACGGTACGAGATGCCATCAGACGATTTCGGGAGACAGGCTTATACACCCGCAGGCTCAAGGCCGACATCTATGAACTTCGACTAGAGATGACTGTTTCTTTGTCACCAATGTGTTGAGAAATCGCTTTTCGACCGCCACTGAAGCTCGTACGTCTCCTTTTGAGGTGAGAACGTACCATTAGAGGCAGAAAGTCATTTAAGGGCTTTTCGTCCAGCTCACGCTCCATCCGTCATACAGTAGAGCTAGTCTTGGCTTGTGCGAGAATATGCTGACTGGACTGTAGAGGAATTGAAGAACATACTGTTCTCAGATGGGAGCAAAATAGCCTTAAGAGGTCCAGATGGACGTCAGTGTGTGTACAGGTATCAAAATGAGAGGTTTGTTCCATGCACAATAACAAACAGGGAGGGTTCATAATGGTATGGGGAGGTATCTCATGAGGTTCATACCAATCTTGTTGTGTTCGATAGAAGTATAAACGCTCAAAGATTCTTCAAAACCATACCTTTCGCTCCGTTACCATACCGCAAGATCCGTCAGTGAGTACCTTAATGAGGTCAGGATTCAAGTTTTACCATGGCCTGCACGTAGTCCCGATCTTAACCCAATAGAGCTCATTTGGGACAACCTTAAAAGTCGTGACCGAGCAAGAGTACCAGTACCTACGACTATAGGAGAGCTAAAAACGGCTGCAGTAGAGGAGTGGCACAACATCCCCCAATCAGACATTAGATACATCATGGATGGATTGAAAAACCGGCTCCAAGAAGTCATAAGATCCACAGGTGGCAACACCTACTATTAATTTTTGTTTTTTTTTAATTGCCCCATTATTTTCAAGACCAAAATTTTAAAATTTTCATTGAAGTTCTTCAAGATTTTAGGTAATCATTCTTTAATAAAAGACTGTTTCCAATATTTTTGTTGTTTCTTTTTCTTTAAGAATAGTTTTTAACATTCCTTTCATAAAATATGGTCTAAGTTTGGCAATTTCTGTGAATTCAAAGAAATAGAAGGTGGGCGGTTAATTATGCCTGTGAGTGTAGTTATTTAAGCCATTATGGTAATTTAAGTTTTGCTGCTTTTTTCCATTTCAATGTTTTTTATTCTATCATAATCATCTTTTCCATGTGCCACAAGGAAAACAAATAAACCCCCTATTGCAAACAAAACATACATTATTGCTTCTTGCCTATTTGCTACCTGACGCTGTTCTGTTGTTTGTTTTCTTTTGCTTATGATTTCCCTTTCTCTTTTGGATTTTTGAAATAAATCTCCATAGTGACTTTTGGACCTGAAATTTTTTAATAATTGTAACTTTAAAATGTATGCCAGATAACTAGAATTGGTCAGCTTTGTGAATACCCAAAAGTAAGTTAAATTGTTATCTCATAACATAAAGGGGTAAAGTATAACTAAGCAAAAAAAAAATGTAATTAATTATACATAAGAACATCAAAACAGTAGAAAAACAAGAACATCATCAGACTCTCACCATCCCCACTGCAGGAGCATAAACATTCCTCATTGGGGCAATAAGTCAAAGAACCATGCAAGATCAATGTGAATTGGAAGATGGTACAAACTACAGATGCAGCCAATGGCTACTACAGGTAATGGAAGGAGCTTAAGATAAAAAAAATTCAGTCACTCATCCTATGACCCTTGCGTTATGAAAACAGCTTAACCTCTACATCACAGACGTTGATAAAACATACCATGCATCAAAATTATAAATAGGTGTTTTTCCATCCATGGTGGGGGCAACTTGACGATTCAGTCTGGACTTATAAAATTTAAGTGTTGGATCTGTAGGTTCTGGTTCAGGTTTATATTCCATCCTAGATGTATTTTCACGGCCCACCATGAGACCTGTAAAAATTGATATTATTTTAAATATTCTTTCAGTGTTTGTTGAGCCATAATATTAAATAATACATACCTTTATCATACATCTTTTTCAGTTTAATATTTCCCAAAACTTCATATGCTTCAGTTATTGATCTAAATTTTTTTGCAGAGGCTTCATCCTGAATACATTAGATATTAATTTAATATGTAATGCTTGTAGCTTTTGGCTAGGATTAGCTTAACTGAATTGTTATTTGTTAGTTGACTCGCATTTTTTTAAAATTGAAATGAGTTGTTCTTTATCTAAATGCAGCTTATGTCGATGATGTAATTAATAAAAATGATATTACAACATGCAACTGGGTAAGTTAGTATTTTATTAAAAATTAAAAATAAGAAAATTACAACAAATCTTAGGAATTGGTAGACGAAATATTGGCAAATGTTATTGGATATTGGTACATACACTCGATTTATCTGGATGATAAAGTTTCGATAATTTGTAGTACGCAGATTTAATATCACTCTGTGTAGCTTTTGGAGTGATTCCAAGGACATCATAATGGTTTGCGTAAACTTTAGAAGATGCGCTCAAGAAACGTACTAATCTGATAACTGGTCGTAATTTGCCTTGACATAACATCTATAAAAAAGGAAAGTTACAAAGTTTTATATTCTTCTAAAAGACAGTCGTAGTAATTATAGTTTACCTTAATATTATTAATTTAGGATCTAAAATTACTACTATGTATTGACGAAAATGGTGTTTTCGTCATTTTTTAATGTTTTACTTTTTCATTCGAGGCTTTTTACCACGGATTGACAGTGACATGACAAGTGACTTTTTATATTACATTACATTACTCTTTGTCACATGTGAAGTGACAACCAAAGAGTTGTTTAGTGACGACTTCAAAATAGTAAAGTACGGCCACTGAGCTGTTACAACAAGAGGGGTATAGAAGCAAAAGCGCTTCAGTCCAAAAATGTTGTTTTTTACACTGAGCACACCAAATTGTAGCGATAAAAAAATGCTAAAATATATTATAATCGGCACCATACAAATCCACCTCAATCTTACATAAAATTCACTTAGAAAGTAGCGTTTAGATGCAAAACCGCTTCGATCCAAAATTTGTTAGGAGCAAATCCGCCTCGATCACAATCAACCAACCAGAAGCAACCATTTCAAAATTTCTAAAATGGCGAATAAGTTACTTTTCATAGTAAGTTGACTGAGCATAGCGCGTGTTTAATTTGTGTTTTTTATTAAATAACTTATTGTAATGGAAGAAAACATTACACCAGCACGTGCAGGACGAGCACGGAAACGTCTGGTAAATAAAAGTCAGTGACGAAGAGTGAAGAAAAAAGCAGAAAGGTAACAAACAATTTACTAATATTTTGGCCGTTATGAAAAGGTAAAGTAGGGTTTGCATAGAATGCTTCTTCTAAATTTTATTTCAATTTTCTTTAAATTAATTGTAAAAGCACGTAACGTACTAACATTTTATTCGCGCTATACTGAACAGTTTTTTTCTGCTTTTGGTAATGGGTTTTATTTTCATTTGCTTAAGGTACTCTGCTAAAGATCTCCCACAACTACCTGCATGTCAGCACAACAACAAAAAAAAAAATTTACGACTGCAAAAATATAAGTTTGCCTAATGCTAAATATTTTCAAGACGTTTTTTATGCTAATAAATCAAAAGAAGGTCAAGATGCTTTTCTTTTAAAATATTGTGAAGTAGCTGATGTTCAACGTCGTCGTCCCAGGCTAGGAACACAGGGGCCAGCACGCCAGGCAAACTACTCCACGAAATTATTTGTAAGGAAACGAAATTCTAATAACTTGCTCCACGTTTGCCAATCAAATTTTTGGGCATATTGCAAATACCGCGGAATAGAATCCGCAGGGTAGCGGAAATTTATAAAACAACTGGTGGTCTCGTAAAAGAAAATAGAGGAGGAGATCACACATCACATAAAAATGTCCACTAACTACAGGAAGTTAAAACATTTATTGAATCCTTTAAGTGTATAGAGTCTCACTATTGCCTGTCTTCTACCGAAAGGAAATATTTAGATTCGACATTAAACATTAAAAAAATGTGGCAAATGTTTAATAAACAAGCAATGAATTCTGTAAAGCAGTGTTATTTTTGAAGAATTTTTAATACGCATTATAATCTAGGATTTTGTAACCCAAGAACTGATGTTTGCTCGAAATGTACTGAACTGGACGAACAAATTAAGAGTGAACAAAATTCATCAGTTAAAGCTAAGTGCATGATAGAAAAAACAATTCACAAACGTAAGGCTAAAAAATTCGACGGTTATCAACATGGAGATGGTTTATGACTGGATGTCTGCCCTACAGGATATTATTAAACCGCCTGGTCAGTGGCATTTTCAATTTGCGCAAAGTAAGCGTTTTTTTATAAGTAGGATTGGTAATAAGGTAAAAGTTAAAGGGGAACTCCATTACACATCTGACTTTACCCAATTAAAATCCATTCTAAAAAGAGGGAAATCTTTCAAGGATGTTCTGCCATTGCCACTGCCAAAAAATAATGTGGCATTATAAGCAGAGAAAAAAAATGATGTGAGGAAATTGTTGGATAAACACTATGGACCGCAGTGGGAAAATCTTAATGAACTCCAATATTACAATAATATTTTGAATAATAATAACAGTGATTCAGTTCAAGAGGCCTATCTGCGATCCACCCACAGCGGATTCAAATATTATGATTCAATTCTTAGTTTTTTTTACTTTTTTTACATGCGCAAGAATAATATTTTATCTTTACTTTTCATAAATAATTATAATACAATATGATGTCCTGTTTTTAAGTACCTGTAACTAATTTGTTAACAAAATTAATTAAATTCATAATCTTGTAACACATTGTTTTATTTTGCAATCGGTACCGACATTTATTGACATTTGACAAATTAAATAGTGACATGCAAATTCGCTTCGATCCAAACCAATGCAAAGCAAACATGCTTAAGTCCAACGCTTAAATGCAAAAACACCTCAGTCCTACATTATTTCTTAAATTATGAAGAATTTATGTATATTTTATTTGTTTTGATTATTGTTATTTGATAAATGTATTCTATTGAATGTACCAACATCAGATTCTGATAAAAAATACAATTTATTACGACATAGTGGAAATTTGCGGTTTTTCAGTCTAGGAATTTTGTGACTGAAACGCCTTTGCTTTTATACCCCTCATTGACAGTTTTTTTTATGTTAATCGGCATAACATTGCACGGCGCCACATTTTCCGATTGATTTAGAATACTCTTATAAAGTACTTATGTCAAATTATCAGAGTCAAGTATTTTCCAATGAACTGTTTCAAAACATAGTGGATTTTACATGTAGAAATTAATAGGGTATTTGCCGCTTTTCTGAAAACTATTTTAAATGGTTGTTTGATACATTATAAAAACACTGTCAATATATTTCATGAGAATCTGTTCTATTTTTGATGAAAATAATTGTTGAAATTTAAAAAGCCAAAATCGCGCAATAAACGCTGCTTTATGTAATGACGCTGATCACGTGGTATTTGTGATGTCACATGCCATTAAATATGTCAAGGCGACATAGCCTATTTATCATCTCGAAGTAAACAAATAGTATTACAGAAGAGAAATTGAAGTTAAATTTTATGATTTGTATCTACTCTGGTTTTGTTTATAAATGTGAGCTACAAATTGTATGTATAAATACATATATTGCGTATCTTATAACACTGTTTTGACATGACAGCTTCCGGTGTACGTATGACGTCACATTCCGGGAAACAGAACCTGTCATTGGTTGCGACGATAACCAATTACATGGCGTTTCCGTCGTTCATTAAAATACCTAAAAATTTTGCATTTTCTTTATGTTATTTGACTAAAGTTGAACATATTTTATGTGCAGATTCTAAGGAAAAATCTTTATTAGATTATTATCTAAGAGGATGACCATAATATGCAACTTATTTTTAATAGTGTCATATACCCTATTCATTAACTTGACATAGCAATTACTTAATACTTATAACAGGACAGAGTACACCCGTTGAAAAGCGAACTTAGTGAAGTATCAAGTACAGAGGCTATTTGTCCCTTTCCAATAGGGCGACAATAATATTTGAACTAAGTGAGATTTCATATTATGGTTCAGTTTTTTAACTACAGCGGCTATTATCGTACACAATAATCTTGTTAAAAGTTTTTATAGGCTTTTCTTTTAATTCCATATCGACGAGCGATATCGCACGAATGGCGCGCCCTTATAATATGTATAAATAATCGCAAGTGTATGTTTACTCCTGAGATTGCACAATCTGGAAATATTTGTCACAAATCTCCTCTACATCAAATTGCATGTACGTACTCGTAGTCTGCGATATCGCTTCAATTGTATGAGGGCTCGACCGGCTCGATGCACTTTTGTGCAATCTCATATGCACGGGTATACTAATATTACCAAATCATCAAAATATATTCAATTTGTCAAAAAAATAAAATATCCCTGCTATATAAATAAGTGAAAAGCTCGATGGTGTAGTGGTTAGCGTGTTTGATCTGCGATTGCAGAGGTTAAGCGACTGTCGCATAGGTCAGTAATATTTTTTCCGGAATCACTGTACGAATTAATGGATAGATTGACTTCATCCATTTAGAATACCTGTATTTTAGCACCACCGATCCGCATTGGGACCTCCACATGGGCCTAATAAGGAATGTCGGGTGGTAAGCGCGTTTGATGTGCGAATTGGATGGGTGACCTATTTTTTTACATGCTACTAAGTACAAGAGGAGAAAAGGGATCAAAATCCCGCCACACCCCGCACCAGCCAGTCTCATCTCGCAACGCTTATCCTGCTCCACGACGCTCAACCAAATAGAAAAAAATGATCACCCATCCCATTACTGGCCTTTGGACTCGTCACTTAATCTTGGCGATCAAACGCACTAACCAAATGTACACAGGTGAAGAGAAGACAGCAAAAATCCAACACTTACCGCTAAACCAAATAAAAAAAAATTATCACCTATCCCATTACTAGCCTTTGCGAAGGTCTCTTAAATTTCGCAATCGCAGATAAAATGCGCTATCTACTTGCGCTTAAAATTGTAACACGCACACTTAAATTCATAAATAAAAATATATTGAATTAAGAAGTCTGTCGAATTGAAGCGCGCTCCATTGAGCCATGATTTTGTTTTGTTGTCATCTAATAAATATTATTAAATATAACGGCGGGTAGTCCGAATGGGCTATTACGAAGCCCAAATAGATAGTCCATATCGGAGGACTATCTTTAAAATAACACTGCAGGCGTGTATACCAACGTGGATAACGAGATGAGCGTGATCTCTTCGGATGTCTTTACTCCTCGGCGATCGGAAACAGAATGTGTGCCAAAATGGCGGCAACTTGGTTTTTATTTACGAACTGTCAAAGTCAGTGTCACCATTCTAATAAAATCACGAATGTCAATTTAAACTGGATTGTGCAGTGTTTCATTAAAAACGGGCAGAGTGAGAGAGTAAATTAGTAACTCTTCATCTCTGTCTTAGTAGTTTTGTAGGATGTCCACGCGTTTTTAATAATTTCATAAATAGGTAATATTTAATAATGTTTACATGACCAAATTTAAACATTTACAGATATAATTTTATAAATTTTTACAGATATTATGAATGATGATGTTAGAAATTTAACCGATAAATTAGTTTTTATTTATCGGTAAAGATATTTATTTTGTAGGAAATAAAA